TATTGCTACCCTAGTATAGTCATAGATATATGATTACCGGATTTTTTTAGTGTACTTTATATCCGGCTAAAATGGTAGGCTTTATGCCTTAGAATAGGACAATTCAAGAATTGGAAAAAATGGTAGTTGCTTTGTCTCTGGCTGAGGCAGATTGAGATATATAGCACTGACCGACAAAGTGACTGACCAAACGAAAAGTCTAAATTCGAATCGCGACCAGAAGGAAAAGGGAGTCCTATTTATCAACTTGAGCAAGTCACGGAGCACTTATTCTCTCACACTTCTATTTCTTCCACTGGGTCATCGAAGCCAATATTTTGTTCCTTATGCGAACATAATCGTTTTGCAATCGATCCTTAGCCGCGGTCTGGACAGACTCTGGAAAAGTATTACTTTGTCTAGAAGAATGTTTCACGTCTGTGGGCAGGGCGAGCGGCTTTATTGTGGACAAAGTCAGCTGGGGAACAAGTAATGGCGCTTGTGTCGAGTGGATTACGTCCGTTGGAATGGTATCGCTGGACGTAGCCACTTCGTGATGCTGGTATGGTGTCGTAGGGATTTCTATGTCGGAGAAAGCTACCGGTGTATTTTTATTAAAAATTTGACCATGTGTGACCATGGACGGCAAAACTGAGGTGAAAGAAGCAAACACCGTAAATTCACCTCGGTGTGGAGATGATGTCTTGGGTGGAGACGTATTTCCCACTGGTCGATGGTGGACGAAATGGGGTCCTACATATTCACGTGTCATTATACAAGAGTGATTATTGATTTATTTTAATTAGCAGAGATTGTGCTTTTTAATTCGAGGGATACCTTTGCGTCCATTGGGAGAAGTGATATTTTTTGCTGACTGGTTCCGAATTTCTGCCGTAGGTTTTTCCCCTCTTAGAGGTTTAAAATGACCACCAGTCTCTTGTATTTTCCTTCTGGGGACGGGGGCCTTTTTGTGGGTGAAGGCGTTCGCCACGGTATTCCCAAATTGTACCGTTCCGCTTTTGAAGTCGGCCCACAACTGCTTCACTTTCGCATTCACCTTTTGCGACGATGATTGTATGGTGGGCTTTTTTGTCGAATTGGACTTCTTACTGGTATCTTACTGGTCGTAGTCTTCCCACCAACGGTGTGCCCCCTTTGTGAAGAAAGGTACATACAAAGTTCAAATAGGTAGGATGAAGTTTGTCATGTTTATTTTCTACCTGTCTCCTTTCCATATTGGACTTCGTATATTATAATAACCAATAATGCAAATGCCAACAAAATCTGCAATGATGTGTGGACATGCATCATTGCAAGAATTTATTCCAACGTGTCAAAATATGGACGAATGCAACAGTATTTACGATAATGGAATAAAGCATTATCAAAGCTTCTAATTACCAATTGTCATACTATTTGCATTGTACGGAAATGTGATAAAAAATGATTAATATTTAAATGAACAACTTTAAGACGTCACTCGTACTTTATTTTCGCTGGTGTATTATGTAAATTTGATAAATTCAACTTACGCAAGAATTTAGAAAATTTGCTACAGTACTAACAGCAATTTTTTGGAATCGTGGTAGATTCAAAAAAAATTAATCCAAGTCTAGCACTTAGCCCCAAACTCGAGATGTGAATAAAAGTAATTTGCGGAATAGCCAAGAGTTTTTGGTAGATTATAATCCCAGCATAAAAAACTTCTCACAATGCGTGGTCCCCAACGGGGTCACCCCAAATGAAATAAGACCTGCACTATTTTATGGGTGAGGTCATATGAATACAAGGTTCGATAGGTCACTTTCTTGAATTGGCCGTTCTAGCGGAGGTAGAGAAGGCCAAAGTTTGAAAAAATGCAAGAGTTTTCTATCGGAGTAGAAAATAGGGTTGTTGCCCTCAGGCGTTTTCCGCGCAAAAAAACCCTTGCATTAATGGCGGTTTTAAAATTAAAAACATTCCAATTTGGCGAATGTGGCGCCACGCCACGGCGCCACGACACGGCGCCAAATATGAGTTTTACACCGAAATATGAATTGAATCTATAATTTCCGACCCCAATAAAATTATGGATTTTCCCCGATAAATTGTATACTTTTCCCCGAAATGACATTTGCCCGAACATAATTCATTTTTTACCCCATAAATATTAGGGGAATCCCCATAATAAAAGGAATGACCAAATAATTAAAAGCAAGTATATCAAGGTACAGTTCAATGGACATGGAATGCATATCTCAAATATGCATCCCCTTTCTCGTCCCATCCTAAATAATATCTGATTCTCTGGTTTAGTGACTTTTTAGCTTTCAACATATGCACGTACCATGGCAGGTAAAAATTCTCAGACACTTAACTTTGATTCCGAAAGTAGTGGCGATGAGTCAAATAATAGTGGAATTGAAACTCAGCCTGCAAAACGACGAAGAATTTTGGATTGGCATTATGTTAAATCATATTGCACTAAGCAAGAAGCTGAGGAATTTATTAAAAGTGATAACCAGTGGGTATATAAGGGGAGATATCACACATCAGACGCAGAAGTTTTAAATTACGTGTGCCGGAGTGTCGATTCATGCAGCTCGAAATGTCATGTCATGTGGCTTTTGTTGGACAATACGTCGGTGATTTTGGAAAAGACAACGGATAAACATGATCATGTTTCAATTCCTAAAACTGGTAATTTTGCTTAAATTTAATTGGAAATCATTCTTTTGCCTGAAAAAATTGTATTTTAGGAATTGAGGCGGCTACTAAATCCGAGATAAAAAAGTTGCTGAACTCGGGGGTAACGCAGCCCAAACTAATTCTACGATCGCTCATGGGCTTGGACGTTAAAGTTCCAACTAAAACACAACTGACTACTTTTTAGCAACAAATAGAAAGCAAGAAGGCCCGACTATCTTATCAATTGGTGCATTGGAGGCTGAGTGTACAAACTTATCCGTCGCCTCGGAAGATGATGAAAGCTATGTTGTGAATTGTGAATTTGACTACGACGCGAAATGGTTTGGATTCTTGATTTCGACCCCACGGCTTCTGCAATTACTTAGGCGCACACCCGCACTTCACGCTGATGCAAGAAGTGGGTGTCTCTGATAAGGACAAAAGATTTCACCCCGTAGGATTTGCTGTCACAACCGGAGAGACAACGAAAGATTTTGAATTTGTCTTCAAATCTTTAGTTAAGGGGTCTCCCGGTTATTCGCCAACTATATTGATCGCATATTCAGCAGAAGCTATCAAATGCTTTCCGCTCCACCTTTGGGGCTGAAATAATCCGAGTCTTTTGCTACTTTCATCTTGTGACAAATATTGATAAAAACAGAAAATTAGTGAAAGATACAAATTCATGGAACGAAATTAAAGACGACATTTCAGAGTTGCAGCTTGCCAGGTCCGAAGACTATTTTAATGCAATCAAATTGTTGTGGCTTAAAAAACACAAACAACTTAACCCAGAGTTTGCTCTATATTTCGAGGAGGAACATCTGCAACGCGAAGGATGGTATGAAGGAAGAGCAATTGGTTATCCATCAACTAACAATGGCCTGGAATCTACAAACTGCTGGATCAAGCAACAGGGAACATTTAGACAGCGTCTACCGATGGGCCAACTCCTCCAATTTATGTTGCAGCAATGGAAGTCCTGGTCGACTGAACGATCCCCAAATTGTGCCGAATTTAAAATATTTGCTTCGCATCCAAGTATCACACTTTCACAGGAAACTCAAGCCTTCATTTGGATTCAGGGTAAACCTGATATCAAATTCCGCACCGCTGGTGATATTACCATTTTCTTTATCTCTGCTGCTAACCAAACAAAGCTGAAAGAAGACGATGTCAACAAATACTTACGAATGACAGAGAAGAGGTTGTGGAAAACTTTCGCCACCTACAAATCCTTTATTGGTCGACTTTGGATGGCTAAATTTCATATAGCGTCTTGGAGTCGTCCTGCACTTGCCCGTATTTTCTTAAGAATCATATTTGCAAGCACATTCTTGGACTGGCCATTAAGAACAATTTTTACAATGTCCGCCCTGAAGCAAAAACTATACCACTAGGACAAAGAAGGAAACGAGGACGCCCGGCCAAGTGCTCGAAAGCATTGATTGTTGATTAATATTCAAATTGTTATGATTGTCTTTGATAACTCCGATTTAAATACATGTAATTATATTTGCTTTTAATTATTTGGTCATTCATTTTATCATGGGGATTCCCCTAATATTTATGGGGTAAAAAATGCATTATGTTCGGGCAAATGTCATTTCGGGGAAAAGTATACAATTTATCGGGGAAATCCATAATTATATGGCGGCCTTTAAATACATCCCATCCTTCATCTAGGGTCCTAGTAGATTCTAAAAAACATAGTGGGTACCCTGGACTCTCCACCCATGCTAATAGTGTCGCCTGTAAGAATCGCAGACGGCCCGACCTTTTCTGGCTTTGAGCTCCTCCCACTGCTTGAAGGGGAAGGGTAGACTACTACTACGATTTACTTTTAAAACTCAGCTCAAAAATATTTTTGGCAAAAACACTCAGGATCTTTTCCAAACCAAGATTTTGTGTTTGTGAAGTTATTGTGATTTTAATCACCTCTTCAAAAACAAAGGAACCTTCGTTTGTCTAGCATCTTAGCGAGCTGCCAGTTCTACCCTTTGAAAAGGTAGAACTCGCAGGTTTCAATTTTTGCAGTTTTTGCTTGGAGCTTCTTGCATTCCTTCACTCAGCTGGATCCATTGATTAATTGTTTGTTAGTGAACTAAATAAAATCAATCGTGCCTTAAAGATCATCCTAGGCGAGATGAGCGTCATTGTCAAGTTCTTGTCCTATCGTATTGAATTTTCTATAAAATTAGTAACCAAGCTCGGAGATTCTCGCTAAGCTATAGAAAAATCAATAATAAACAATAAATATAATAATAATATTTATTTAACTCCCATCACATTTATAATTTATTTTTAGAATGGGAATTATAAAATAAAATTGTACCGAATTTCTTAGTTGGATTTGAATTAGCTACGATTTTTGAATAGCCCCTCTGCTATGCTTACCAACCTACCCTGAGCTTCGCAACAGTTGAAGTCCTTGGCTTCAGGATGTAACAAATTTTTTAACAAAATCGGAACCTGCCTACCCCTTGTTCGGCTAGTGGTAATGAGTTGTAAGTGATGCGGACGACGAAGTTGTGGACGAGGGGGTCGTCCTCGGCGTGTCCATTTTAATTGTCGACGTGTCGAGGGCTGTTGTGATCCTTCTGGTGATGGTTCATCCGTTGGGTAATCCTGAGCGTTGTGGATTCTGGTGATTTGATACAAAATTATTTTTGTATTTCTTATATTTTAATATCACGAGTAGGATTTTAGGAAGTAGAAAATTAAAAATCAAACCAGAACTGACTTTAAAGGAGTCGAACATCTTAAACCCATATCTTGCCGTATTATGCTTTTAGTAAAATACTATTGCACGCCCATCTTGAAAACGGGATTCTCGGCTAGTATACTTAAAAACCAATACAAAATCGATCAAGGTGCAATCATTGATTTAACGGTCTCACATCTCGTAGGTCAGCATTTAAATTAACATCACAGGGCATGAATTTACAGCTTCAAAATACACCCAACATTTTTAGAAGACGTGCACCACTCCATTTATCAACTGGTTCGACACATTTGATCTCCTTTTATCACGGGTTACCTTGCTGGTTGGGATTTGCACACGATTTGCACACGTCCGTTTGCCTAAATTTAAACCACCGTGTGCAAAACAAACAATACCAAATGCAGAGAAGTGCTGCCATACATATATTAATTAACAGTCGCATATCTCATGGTTGGAATGCAGAATCGATATCATTGTCGATATTTGTATTTTACTTACTGTAGCATTGATCTCCTCTTAGCAATTGTTGACAAACTTGACTGATGGGCTTTGCACACGTTCACTTTAACCACGGTGCACATCTTTCTATTCTTAACCAGCATTGACATTGACATTGATTGACCACGAACCAAGTCACGTAAACTGTTTGCGCAATCAGTATCACGTATTGTGGACATGAATAAAGAACTCGGTATAAAAGTCACCACTCAAACCGTGCCAAAATTACTTGGTCTCTGCGACTTGAACACAATGTACCAAATATTGTCCTTTATTCTAGCCTTCGCCGTCGGGGTGGTAGTTCCTCACGGTGGAATGATCGACCCGCCGGGGAGGAACTACATGTACCACGCAGGCTTCGAAGGAACCCCACCAAACTGGAATTGGCAAGCTGTCTGGTGTAACGACGTTCCTCAAGCAATCGACGTCCCGGAATCTACTTGTGGTATTTAAACATGTGAACATCTTAAATTTGGGTGTGCCTTAAGCTTTTGCTTGACACTTGTACCCGGCTAGCTTTCCCTAATTTAAATATTAGGCAGTTTGTGTACATACCTTTTTAGGATTTCCGTCACGCTCCGTATGACTTGAGACTGGTCAAAATTTTCATAGTGTATATGGAATATGTGAAGACTAAGCCCGCCAAAATTTACAAATTTGTTCTTGAAATTTTGACACTCTCAAGATATAAGGAGCGTCACGGAAATCCTAAACACGTAGCTGAACAAACTCCTTATTGCTTAGGCATGTGTGGCGACGTTCCTAGCGATCCTGCCCCCAGAGAGAATGAGAATGGAGGCTATTATGGGAAAGCAACCGTTGGCAAGAACTATACCGCTGGCTCTGTAAGAGTGACCTACTATGATGGAATAATTAAGAAAAATTCATATTTGTTTCTGTGATAGATTATCGATGTTCGAACCGAATTCGGCGCTGCTCACTACGGATACATGGAGTTTCACTTGTGCCAAACTAGCATCGAGTCGCCAGGTTGTTTCCAGAAACTTGCAATTGTTGGAGGAAGTGAAGACATCATTCCAGAAGAAAGAATGTGCGTCCCATACCCAAACAGCGAAACTAGAATACTCACCGCCAGACTTCAACTTCCAGCTGGGGTGCGATGTAACCGATGCACGTTAAGATGGACGTATCGAACAGCTTACCCGGGATGGGGAGGTATGGTCAATCAGGGACAAAACCACCCTGGACAGGACACTGTCCAAAAGTGGTTTTCCAATCCTGAGGTGTCCAAAAGTGAAAAGTGGGGTAAACCGATACAATTCATATTACCCCATCGGACACTTGCGTACACTTTTGGGAAAACCCTGTCGTCAATGAAAAAATACCATGTTTGAGCCGAATTTGAAGTACTAAATATTAATTGTGCATTAACAGGTTGGCATGAGTGTGCCGTTAATCCCAACCCAGCCCAAGTGTTCAGGAATTGTGCTGACATTAGCATCCAGTGAAAATAGTGGTTAATTGGTTAAACTCTTAATGGTTACAAGGCGAGATGAAATAATATGTAAATGTATATATATATGAAGTAAATTTAGTATGTTATTTACGTCAATGTGAAATATGGTTGTGCCAAATCTTACAAACCGCCTGTCCATACGTTTCGAAAAGCTTGGCGTTGAGACTTGATAAATATTTGAAACATAAGTTCCGTGGGTCCCATCTCAGGACAAGATAAAAGATTGGCTCTTAAGGTCTCACCCTCGAGAGGGTCCACCCAAAAAGTAAAGGTAACCATATGTGAAATGGTTCCGCCATTAAATTGGGTGGCTTGGGGTATATTGAATCGTATTGGGGAGAGCTTTCAAACTTGACCTCTCCGCCCTATCCGTAACTTTCCAAAGCGTGGAGACGTGGACCCGTTAATTATAATATTTGTCCAGTCTGTCTGTCTGGAATCCCTGAATCTTTAAATCTTGAATCATTAAATCTTGAATCTCGATATTTAAAATCTTGAATTCCTGAGTCTTGAGTTTTTGAATATTGAGTCCTTGAATCTTGAGTGGTGACTTTGTCATAAGCGAAGCACAAAGATACACTCAACATAATTTGTTAACAGGATTGTCTCCTGGTGCAGGTACTGTTCAATTCCACCGTCTTGGACACATTTCGTCTCCGGGAGCACATACACCGAGCCTAAATCCTGCCCCGGCACCTTAGTTACTTTATGGGAGGAGAAATATCTCAAGCACTGGGAACAATTAGATAATTACCATCGGATAGCAAATTATTACTATAAATTGTCACCCCCGGTAGAATTGAATACTGCCTACATCACTAACAATATTGTCTCCCAATTATTTTTAGTGTATGAGTATCCAAAGAGTGTATACTTCCCCTAAGATAAACACCGGACATGCATCTACCATCAACAAGCGGTCCGCACCACAACCACCGCAACCTAACCTAACCAACGGTGTAAATATGCGGCGACACCGGCATGGTGTAGATTGCTTGTCCGCTGGTTAGAATGGTTGCCACCACGCGGTGACACTAGCTACAATTTGTGTCCAGTGAGAATTTGGCAATTTACACCGTGTTTTACTAATATTTTTTGCAGTGTACATATAACGTCGAATATGCTTCGATTGGGAATCGTGCTATTTATGTATTAGGTAATATTAATAATAGTTAATTGTTAAATAATTGCAAATTTTCACCAAAAATGGCAAGTGCTGCATGTCCGTTTTGATTGTCTTAATTATGCTTCATGACTTGCACCCTAAAAAATCAGGACTTCGCAAAAACACGGAAAATACATCACAAGAAATCGCTTCCCTTGTGACTTTAAATTTTAAATAAATAACCAATTTATTTTTATGTAATGTCCTTCAAATTGATCAAAATGAGAGTAATAATTCCTAACGGGGTCATGAATTCGGAAACAGTTGTGGGTACGGCAGAGTTTTTAGGATTTTTTAGCAGTGCAATAATCAGACATGGCGCCTCGAATTTTTTATCTCGAATTACTTTAACGCTGGCCTTTATATTTTGCAAGGATAACAAGTTGGTTATGGAGAACAAGATAGCATATGTCTGTTACTAATTGTAGATAGTGCCTAAATGGCCACAATTTTTGGATCCTGGCCCATAGTGCACTGTCGTGGCATGGAGGTTAACCTCATTATTAAAATTCCAAAGGAAGTTTGCGGTTGATAGGTTTCTGATTCCAAAGTTACAATTATTACAGGAAGTTTTTCCTTCCTTACACTCAACCCAATAATTTCTCCTTGTTTGCAAAACTTTAGTCAAATGTAACAATTACGTCGACTTAACGTACAGGTCCAAACCAACCGGACGGCATGAAAACCACAAACGGAAAAAAAGTTGGTTTCACATCCTGCCCAGTTAATGTCAAGTTGGAGCGTTTAAATTTTACTTACCATTCGACTCCCGAATTCTGTCCATACCGTGCGACCCCTGGTTTGGCTACAAATTTAGGAGGGATCTTTCTTGGCGAAATTTGATTTCCGGAAATACTGCAAAATGGTGAGTAGAGTTAACAATAATAATTAATAATTAAAGATAATCAAATAAGTTAACTTTATTTAGATGTAAAAATACTGCATTGGGCTTATTGCCCTCTTCGTTTTCGTAACCGTCGTATCTGAAGGGATGGGTGCGGTGCGGGTTAAACGGCAAAGAAACACGGACTGGGGGCCAGATGGAGTCCCGCCGCCTCAAGGTAATGGTGGCGGTGTGCCTCCCGGGTACCGATGGAGTTACCAATGGACCTCACCCACCAAGTTTTATCATTATTCTTACCAGTACCATAATAAGAATTAGATCGACTAATTGTCACTTTGAGATACTCGAAAATAAAATTCATTCTAATCGTTGATTACACTCTAAGAAACTGGGTGATAGCGGCGATCACCGCGCGAACGGAGATAGCGAGTATCACCGTCATGGTGATACATTTGTCACCAAAATCTGTCACCACTCCTGGTGATAGCCACTACCACCGTTCCATGGTGATACCGTCTCTGCACGTGACTCTCGGAGTGGCGAGTTTGTCCTACTCCACGCACTAAACAATGCAGCAGAACAGCAGTGAATTTGTAGAAGTGCCAGAATTACTTCGTATTTCTTGTTTTCTAAGAGGAAAAAATAAATACTTGCGCCTGAATATTTGTAAAGTTATTGACACAGGTAAAAAATTTAAAAAATCGAAATTTTGACCAATTTTATCAACCTAAATTTTGTTTCCTTTCTACCACCGAGAAAAATATAGGTTGGACACCAATATACGCCCGAAGGACGAAGTGTCTATTTCCAGACGTCATGCCGTCATCCCCGTTAATTATGGTAAAATTGCGATTTTTAAATAGTTTCCATTAATGACCAGCTTATTCTGTCTATGGTATTCATTTTTTTCTTATAATAATAATAAGCAATAATTTCTTATTACTTGGACTGGGTCATCGCAGTACAAGAGGTATGTTTATAAGCAAAAAAAATACCAACATAAAATTCAGCGTATTCTTTGCAGTGGTAAATGGTTAATTAATATATTTTTTCTACCAGATCATCCATACTTTAATCGATGTCAGCCAAGAAAAATTGAGCCAGCAGCTTCCGTATTAATGATCCCAGTCTGGGGAAAGTTTGTCTTCAAAGGGTAAAGTAAAAAAAAGTAATTATGGGTTTTACATACATATATATATACAAACTATTAAATTATTTCTGAATAAAAAACTAAATACAATAGAAAAACGTAAGATTTTCGTGAAATGTGAAATTATTTGCACTTATCCATCACCAGACAGTGACAAGTAGAGCTAAAAATGGTGGTGGTCTATCACCGAACGGTGATAGATAATATTGATTATTCTACCACCGGCCGGTAGACGTCTATCACCAGGACGGTGATAGTCATTTCTATCACCGCCCGGTGGTAGGTTACCACCATTGCGGTAGAGTCATATATAGTCACCGCGCGGTGATAATCTGGTGGTAAAATTTCTTAGAGTGTACATATTTTCTGCAAATACAAATAATATACTTGGAGTTGCACATACAAAAATAGGGTGTATCGAAACAAAATAATAATCATTACTTCCCGAAATCAGTGATTTATTTTAGTCCCATTGTAATTAGAATATTTGAGTAATTCAACCCAATCCGCATAATATGGCGAAATATGAGCTCAATTTTTGAGGCATTTGTTATTGATTTAATTCAAATCCATCATTTGTTTGAACACTGGAATTTTAGTGATTTCAATTTTCAAAATTGTGTTCAGCACTCCTCAGTAAAATTTTAATCCATACAATGTTGTTCCGAGTTGTTATGGCAAAACAAGTGCTACAGTAATCTTCACCAGTTATTATGAACTTATGACGTATCTCCTAGCTCGTCTTGATTGCAGGAACTTTTTTGGTCATCCTCTACATATGTATGTATACGATAATTATACAGGGATTGTTTGATTTTTTTGTTTGTAAAAAAACAAAACCTATACGACAGTATAGGTTTTAGACAAGGCCAGCATCGTTGATATACTTGCAAACCATATCAGGCTTGTTAATCCAAAACGGATCTAGCTGGCTTTGTAGAAAACAATGAACAACCAGGTAAATATTCGGGTTAATATTGCCCTGTTCACGTCATCTCATTACGATCGGCCATCTAATATTCAGATTATAATATTCATTCCTAACAGACGGTCATATCGCAACGAACATACATTCATTGTAAAAAATATTATACTTCTTCTTGGTGAGGCAAATACTATGAAATCAACGAGGAATTTCTAACAATGCGTGGTCCCCAACGGGGTCACACCGAATTAAATGAGACCTGCACTAATTTATGGATGAGGACATATGAATACAGAGTTCAATAGGTCACTTTCTTGAATGGGCCATTTTAGCGGAGATAGAGTAGGTCAAAGTTTTAAAACATGCAAGAGTTTTCTATGGGAGTGGAAAATAGGGTTGTTGCCCTCAGGCGTTTTCCGCGCAAAAAAACTCTTGCATTTTTTAAAACTTTGACCTTCTCTACCTCCGCTAAAACGGCCCATTCAAGAAAGTGATCTATTGAACCTTGTATACATATGACCTCATCCATAAATTAGTGCAGGTTTCATTTAATTTGGTGTGACCCCGTTGGGGAACATGCATTGTAAGTCACCCTACATTAGTCCGATGGATTTTTTTATGTTTAGATACTTGAAGAAATAACTTTTCTCATGAAAGCATAGATTCTAGCTGGTTGTCGGAACGCTCTGAACGAAAAGTGGGATCATGTCTCTACTTAAAAGTGCCAAAAAGTGTTCGAAGCAGAGTTGGGACTTTTTATCAGCCCCTCACCCTCCTCTCACCAGTTCCTCAATTTTTTGCCCCTCACTCTCCCCTCCCCTCACCAGTTCCTCATTTTTTGTCCCTCACCCTCCACTCCCCTCACCAGTTCCTCATTTTTTTGCCCCTCACCCTCCCCTCCCCTCACCAGTTCCTCATCTTTTTGAATGGAAGTTACCTAATGCGACCCTCAACCGTCCCTTTCTAAGAATGATATTTTCATCAAAGGTATTGCTTAGAGTATTGATGGTGGGAACTGGTACTATTTGGTTTTTAACTTGAAAATGGTCAAAAATGTAAATTAATAAGTAGATCTTATTGTATTGTGCGGTAGTATTTACTATCTAGTATTATGTTTTAGTAAACAAACTAGATTTCAGTTCATTGTACATTTCATATTTAATTTTTTCCTTGGCGCCCCCTACAGCTACTTTTTCGGAAGACTTCGCAATACGATGAACTAATTTTCTGGAAATTTCTGTTGAGCCCTTCCCCTCCTCCAAAAGTGTTTGAATTTGCACCCGGGTCTGCAATCTAATGTTGATGTAAACAAAGATTAGTTATGACGATTTTGCTTACCCGCCGTCCATTATTTTAGTGATGCTGCACAACTTTCTTTACACTATGTATAAATGAATGAATATTTATTCATTGAAATGAATTTGAATGAATATTTTTTTTATGTTAATTCAAATGAATGAATTTTGAATGAAGAATTTTTTTTGAACAGGTATGGCAATGAGTAGTAATTTATTTCATGACATTCTTACATAAGTACAATAGATATGTCTATTTCCCCGCAGCCGGCATGGGAGAAGTTTGCCTTGAAGAAATAGTTGTTGCCCGGGCTGTTGTCCGCCAACCGCCCTGTTGACCACTTTGACCTTGGCCGCCCTGTTGACCACTTTGACCTTGGCCGCCCTGTTGACCATTTTGACCTTGGCCGCCCTGTTGACCATTTTGACCTTGGCCGCCCTGTTGACCACTTTGACCTTGGCCGCCCTGTTGACCATTTTGACCTTGGCCGCCCTGTTGACCATTTTGACCTTGGCCGCCCTGTTGACCATTTTGACCTTGGCCGCCCTGTTGACCATTTTGACCTTGGCCGCCCTGTTGACCACTTTGACCTTGGCCGCCCTGTTGACCACTTTGACCTTGGCCGCCCTGTTGACCATTTTGACCTTGGCCGCCTGTTGACCATTTTGACCTTGGCCGCCCTGTTGACCATTTTGACCTTGGCCGCCCTGTTGACCATTTTGACCTTGGCCGCCCTGTTGACCATTTTGACCTTGGCCGCCCTGTTGACCATTTTGACCTTGGCCGCCCTGTTGACCATTTTGACCTTGGCCGCCCTGTTGACCATTTTGACCTTGGCCGCCCTGTTGACCATTTTGACCTTGGCCGCTAGGTCTTATAGTGCTACTGCCATTCCCAGTGCTACTGTCCTTGCCCTTTCCCCCTTTGCCTTTCCTGGCTAATGTTTCCTAAAATATCATTCATTTACTTAGAAAATTATGACCTCATATAGAAACATATTATATTTACCTGAGCCAATAGTGCTACAGTCAAGACCAAAATTATTGCGATCTTCATCCTCTTATTTTTTGAAAAATTCTGATAGTTTACAAGTAATATTTTTACCTTGAAATTAAATTCCAGACTGAAGTACGACTTCAAGTTTTTGCATTTTTTATCGCATGCGTGGCAGGATAATATTTGCATAAACTAGAAAAATCTCGAAAAAATCGTGTCGCAAATAATCTCCATAACAATGAATTACGTTATGAAGTGCGCACGATTAATTGCTTCAAGCAGAGTTCCCCACTACCGATTGTATTGATGTTGGAAGCTATTGAAATGCAAATCATAATTAATCAGTAGAATATAAAATTTTATCCACACCTGTTAATAGTGAAAATTTGTTACCCAAAAATTATTACAATTTAAAACCAATTAGATTTTACCCGGATATAAATTTGCATTGCCATAAATGCCAAATTGTTGCATAAACTAAAATTTGTTTGGATTACGTACTCGAACGCTACGGTAGTAACGTGGGTTTTAGCCCAAGTCAGGGCTTATGTAACCGTCATGTCTGTTCGTCTGTCTGTAGGGGGTGGCCCATGTCGATTTTTCAAAATCATTTAATCAAGCTGAAATTTGGTATGGATGGAGCTAATGGTTTTTATGCAGCCATGGGAAAGTTAGAATGTGAAGATTTTTAATCCCAGAGACCCGAGGGGGTGACCACCACCGATTTCTGAAAGGTGGTTTTTGGCTAAATTTGGCTTAGATTTGTTACTTAGGTTATCTCTAGTTTGCATTAGTAAAATTTAATGTCAAATTTAGAAAATTTGCATGACAGACAGACGAACAGACATGACGGTTACATAAGCCCTGACTTGGGCTAAAACCCACGTTACTACCGTAGCGTTCGAGTACGTAATCCAAACAAATTTTAGTTTATGCAACAATTTGGCATTTATGGCAATGCAAATTTATATCCGGGTAAAATCTAATTGGTTTTAAATTGTAATAATTTTTGGGTAACAAATTTTCACTATTAACAGGTGTGGATAAAATTTTATATTCTACTGATTAATTATGATTTGCATTTCAATAGCTTCCAACATCAATACAATCGGTAGTGGGGAACTCTGCTTGAAGCAATTAATCGTGCGCACTTCATAACGTAATTCATTGTTATGGAGATTATTTGCGACACGATTTTTTCGAGATTTTTCTAGTTTATGCAAATATTATCCTGCCACGCATGCGATAAAAAATGCAAAAACTTGAAGTCGTACTTCAGTCTGGAATTTAATTTCAAGGTAAAAATATTACTTGTAAACTATCAGAATTTTTCAAAAAATAAGAGGATGAAGATCGCAATAATTTTGGTCTTGACTGTAGCACTATTGGCTCAGGTAAATATAATATGTTTCTATATGAGGTCATAATTTTCTAAGTAAATGAATGATATTTTAGGAAACATTAGCCAGGAAAGGCAAAGGGGGAAAGGGCAAGGACAGTAGCACTGGGAATGGCAGTAGCACTATAAGACCTAGCGGCCAAGGTCAAAATGGTCAACAGGGCGGCCAAGGTCAAAATGGTCAACAGGGCGGCCAAGGTCAAAATGGTCAACAGGGCGGCCAAGGTCAAAATGGTCAACAGGGCGGCCAAGGTCAAAATGGTCAACAGGGCGGCCAAGGTCAAAATGGTCAACAGGGCGGCCAAGGTCAAAATGGTCAACAGGGCGGCCAAGGTCAAAGTGGTCAACAGGGCGGCCAAGGTCAAAATGGTCAACAGGGCGGCCAAGGTCAAAGTGGTCAACAGGGCGGCCAAGGTCAAAGTGGTCAACAGGGCGGTTGGCGGACAACAGCCCGGGCAACAACTATTTCTTCAAGGCAAACTTCTCCCATGCCGGCTGCGGGGAAATAGACATATCTATTGTACTTATGTAAGAATGTCATGAAATAAATTACTACTCATTGCCATACCTGTTCAAAAAAAATTCTTCATTCAAAATTCATTCATTTGAATTAACATAAAAAAAATATTCATTCAAATTCATTTCAATGAATAAATATTCATTCATTTATACATAGTGTAAAGAAAGTTGTGCAGCATCACTAAAATAATGGACGGCGGGTAAGCAAAATCGTCATAACTAATCTTTGTTTACATCAACAGCTGTTATTTTTTGGGATGGTGGTTACCAACCATTTATCTATTAGATTGCAGACCCGGGTGCAAATTCAAACACTTTTGGAGGAGGGGAAGGGCTCAACAGAAATTTCCAGAAAATTAGGAGTTCATCGAAACACGGTCCTGCGGTGGAAGAACCGGAAGTCAATCAACGATGAAAATCGGACTGGACGACCTACAATCCTCTCACCTACAACTAAAAATATCATAAAGAAGCGGATGTGCAAGAAATTGAGTAGTTCCACACGAAAATGTGCGGCGGTCTTAAACCTGTGAGATCTGTCAAGCGGTTGGGGAAGGAAATAAGTCACACCACCGTCCAAAATCACATAAAATCTACCGAATGGGGACACACTGCATGCAGGTTGCCTAAAAACCACTTTTGTCCTAAAAAAACAGAGAGAGAGGTCAACCGGGAGAGGTCAACCGGGAGAGGTCAACCACTTTCTCGCTCAATTCTCTCCATCGCAGCTCACTTTCCCACTCAACTCGCTTTCTCGCATTGAATTTTATTACAGGATAATTTCATCTATTAACAAGAATAATTAATTAAATAGATTATCGACATGTGGTAATATCGAAATGAGTAAAACAGATAAGTTTGGAAAAATTCAATGCGAGTAAGCGAGTTGAGTGTTGAAGCGAGCTGCGAGGGAGATAATTGAGCGAGAAAGTGGTTGACCTCTAAAGACGTAACCGAGCATTTTTTCAAACTTTGAGGTCAAATTCCTGGACCCAAAGTGAGCATTATCGAAAACAATAAAACATATGTTTAATAGTATAAGTTAAACTGCAAAATAAAGTTTGTCCCATTAAGATCCGTGATAAACACTTCACGGCATCGCATTGTAAGTAGGTTTAAAATAAAACTTGGTTTTGCTCCTTTTACAGATTAAATATATATGTATAAGCTTTAAAATTTACATGACACAACTACTTATTACATGAGAGATTAGCTTCATACTACCCCAATTGAATTTTCACAGTTATTCACAGTTATTCACAGTGAGGTGGGGTGGTAATTAACGGTAATTCCCACACCCGGAACCCTGTTTGTAATTTAATTTATTTCGTGTATGCATTTCGAATACCGTAATTTATGTTTATCCAACCAGTAAATAAACCGTAGCATGCGTTAGAAATAGCTCGCCCTATACTCTCTTATAACAAAATTCAATTTTTGTGCACGATTTGTGCAAGAGGGTCAATATTGTTTAGCTATGGTGTTATGGTGCTATTGTGCTGCACCGTTGGTGCAAATGAATTACAATTGTGTAAATCACTGGTTCAGTCCAGTTATGCAAAATTGTGTACCTAATTCTCTCGATTATCATTTTTTCTAGCAAAAGTAACAAAGGAATGAATTAAATTGATATGTAGCAGTTTTAAAGTATTTTGTCAGAATTTGATGTCTAGTTTTTTTTCAATTATTTTGCACTATTGATAATTTGTCCATTGATTTTGTCAATTATTTTACATGAATTTCAAACTATTTTGTATTATAGTTAGGACTCGCACCAACAGAGCAAAAGAACCACACAAAATAGATACATAATCTTCCTATTTTGTATTACCTGTATTGATTTAGATGATATATTTATGTTTGATGTCTAGTTTTTTCAATTATTGCTCCTATACTGTATGTGTTGATTCTTGTCGACTGCTTTTGCTCAAGTTCATTCGTCGTAACTGTATTGCCCCAGGCTGCCAATGCATTTGAGCGGTCGCTAAATTTGGTGGAATCAGAGAGGAGAGAAACATTGAGGAAAGGTGCGACCATTGTGGCACGATCGCTAAGGCTAATTGGGGCCGTTTGGAATGATTTCAAATTCCTGGATGGTAAAAGTTTTGGAGGCTATGCAGGATCACACAACACTTTTACTCACATTTTAACAGGTATAGCGGAGTAGGTGTAGAGGTGGCTTCCTCATGAACCAATTCCAACGCCCACATCGTGTCAGCCACGAAAAGTAGGATAGATGCATAACATATAAATGAAGAATTTCACTGTGAACAATAAATATGTAGCTTTACTAATACGAGGGGAGATTGATAAGTACCTAGAATCATATCTTTAAAGATAAGATAGAGCTTTGAAATTTTATCCGTTTAGACGTTGTCCATCCTACATCTCGTGTATCAAAAATCATGTTGATCGGGCAACTTGTTTTTTTTTAAATCATAGAATCTATAGTGATTTTATTGGTTGTCGACCTTTGAGAGGGTTGTGGCGGGCGCAAATAGGGTCATGGAATCAAACTACTTTGAGGTTATAGTACACCCATGTAATACTATATCATACTCAAAGGATATCGAAACCTGTGACCTGTAGGGTCTGATTCTCTCATCCTCATTTAATTCAGGTCGTGCAAGGCGTGTTAAAATCATTTCAGAAATAAAAATTCGTGATGAAAGGAAACAGCTTAGGCATAGAATTAAATAGTGTATTGAACTAGATAGAGATAACGTTGAAAAATCACAGATTGACTAGCACCAGACTTTAAAATCCGTTTAAATAAAAAACAATTCCAATGACTTATCAGTCTCCCCTCGTATGTTATTGCAGTGGAGATAATTTGAATAAACCTAAAGGGCGAGTTTATGCGAATGGGTGAGATAACCAAGCGGGGCCATGTCACCGAATTAGTTAATTTTTCTATCATGAAATGTGCGAGCTTGGAAAAACAATTTGTATATTTCACTTTTTAAATTAGTCAAACCCCACCCCCAATATTCATGAATATGTGATTATTTTGCAAAATTATCATGGCCCATAACTAGTCACACAAAAGAATTACGATGACAACCTTAACTTATGAACGATAGCAATATTTTTGAAGAAATTTTTGAAACAAATTTGAAGTCAAAATTCGAAACTTTTGGGGCGTAACCTACACTGTAAATAATATGGTAATAAACATTACCGAAAAGCACAAGTATATGACTCTACCAGAGTGGTAATGATGAGTTGTTCCGTGTGGTAATAAAGTTTTACCAACATGGTAACGAATTTTTACTACCTGGTAAAATATTATTACCAAATTTATTACCGAGAAATCATTACCAGCGTGACTTTACCGGATTATTAAGAGTGTAGTTAACTTTGATCACCATTTTTTCATGGTTCCTGTCATGGGCACCAATTTTTGTTGACAGATTCAGAAGCATCTATAAAAATAAAATCAGATAAGAGTTTCTCCCAAAGGGGCCGGCGACAGGAACCAAGAGATATTCACGGTCAAAGTGGAGGTGACGGGCGGGAGAGGCGGAAAGAGAGTACATTCTACGGCTCTCAGAATATTAATATTACAAAAACATGACTAAGAATCGAAATTTATCGAATCTTGTAAAAATAAGATTCCAAAGCTAATCCCCCCTTTAACTTATATCAAACACCGACCACCACACCCACTCCCAAACTCTGGAAAAGGTCACAGAAACTCCTCTTCCAATGAGCCGACTTCCTCCCCTCCTTTCCTTAAGTGGACTCACCCTTACTACCATAACTTTAAGGAATCAACGGGACAACAAACTGCCACGGGTGTGGTCCTGCGCTAGCAAGGTTAAGGAGGAGGTTGATCCCGCTGACCTTCTAGCTGCCATACCCGACCGGCACGTGACCAGGCAAGTTTATTAATACTAATATTACTTCAAATCCGAACCTATACTATTCTTAAGAATAAGTCACCCTCACTAATTCTGTATCATTTTGATGGGCACCGGAGACCTCCCAACCGACTAACTACTATGAATTGTGGATCCTGCAACTCTATTATCGCCGTTCGCCAGCAGTGTCTCCAATGTCTCCAGTTTCATCATAGGATCTGCCTGCCAACTGTTTCAAACCACGAATGGCCGACAATTAAGAATGGAATTTGGTATTGTACCTTGTGTCAAACAGGAGACAACAATAATATTAATATTTCTATTGACGAGACAACCACTAACTCAAATTTATTCGAGGTACTTCCGTTACACCGCTTCCAAGACATCACAACTCAAGATTACCCTCATGAACAATCATCAACCCTACCTCCCCCACCCCACGACTCATCCATCGTCCACGACTCATCTATCGTCCACGACTTATACAATCAATTCAAAACATCGAAAGGTTTGAAAATCTGCCACCAAAATATTAATAGTATTCGTAATAAGTTTGACGATGTATTAAGCCTCATTTGCAACCAAAATATTAATATTGATCTTATATCCTTCACCGAGTCAAAGCTTGATCCAGACCGTGATAAAGATGGTATGTATGTAGTTGAAGGTTACAATTTTATAAGGTCAGATCGTAACTACAATCAGGGCGGAGGTATTATCACTTATGTGAAAAGTGAAATTAACTTTGAACACGTCCAATGTTTAGTTCCTATTGATAATAACTCTGAGATTCAAATAATTAAGTTAATGTTAACGAATTGTAAACCTGTACTTGTAGCTATACTCTACAGTCACCCTGCCACTCCTAAAGCCAAATTAGTAGATTTCTTCCGCGAACTCAACACCTATTTAATATCATTCGATGCCGAATATTATATTTTAGGCGATTTCAATTTAGATCTTTTAAAGCGAGATGCAGACTCGTACTCAATATTTAATGCAGGGAAATAATTTCGTTTGTGGCAACACATGGTAGGTCCAACCTATAAAGGACTATCACTATTAGATCATGTTTATTCCAGTAACAAACTAAATGTAAAGCTTGCTGGCCAATTTTCTTTTACCAGCTCGGATCACGATTTGACTTTTCTAGTATGAAAGTCTGCAAGAGTAAAGTTTCAACCAAAATTTATAAATTATCGTTCTTATAAGAATTGTGACTTTTCATTACTAGAAAGTTAACTCTAGTCCTTCCATTTCGATACAAATATTAATATTAGTCGACAGTTTGAGTTCGAGAGGTATAATAACTATTTTTTATCACTACTTGACGAACATGCCCCTGTGAACAGACGTCAAGTCAAGCCGAACCTAAACCCGTGTTATGCTTCCAATTTAGCTGTTCAGAGTAAAACTAGGGATAAATTGCGTATTGTCGCAGACCGAACTAGATTACCTTTTGATATAAAAATATACATCCGAGCGCGCAACTGTTACAATACCAGCTTAAGTAATGCTAAAAAGTACTTTTTCAAAAAAGGTTTCACGGATTCAATTAGTAATACCAAAAATCTGTGGAACAATGTTAATCTACTAACGGGTTACCGGAAACCTACTAATATTAATATTTATAAGCTAGTCGACCCTAATAGCGACGAGGTATATGATTCCCCTCCTAAAGTCAGTGATGCCCTGGCATCTCATTTTATAGTTACTAGCGAAAAGTTAATCCCGGACCCCATATTCTCAACAGAATTACAAAATTATGAGGTTAACTATTCAATTAACGAATCTAACGAAACATTCGAATTTGCCACTTATCTACGGAGCTTACCAGAACGAAATTGCTCAGGTCATTACGGGAGCTTTCCTTCTTTATGCAGTAAACTTATGTATATATGTCTCAGGAGACGATTTGGATGAAATGTTAACTATATTAAAACAGCAGACAGCAATTGTTGAACAGTGGTATAAAGACAATAATATGAAATTCAATTATGCTAAAACAAAGTATCAAATTTTCTACAAAAGCGGCTATGTTCTCCCCGCCAAATATGTTAATTGTCCTCGTATCCTCGATAGTGGTCACGAAATAGAACAAGTAACTACATTTAGATTGACTCTACCTTTAGTTTTAAGACACACTATGAATCTGTATCAAAGCGTATCTCAAGTAATATAGGTTATTTATATGGCATAAAGCGTTACTTAACCGATAAGGTCATGGTTATATTACTAAACTGTCATGTACACTCCATAGCAGACTATTGCTTGGATACATGGGCCATTCGTTCAGACTTGCAACTTAATACTATCCAGAGAAAAGAAGACCAGTATCTGATCAATTTCTTTCTACCAATCGTAGCCAAAAAATGCGATCACGCAAATCTCAAAGGTATAAAGATATTAGGCATAATATTAATATTAATGAACTTAGAAAACAATGTAATATTCTAACCATAGCTGAACGAAGAGACTTGTTTTGGCTTAAATATGCATTTAGGAATTTACGCCATTTAATCACATCATCTTCCAACCGTTGTACGTTTCCTTTACTATCCGTTCCTGTTAACAAAACTAAATTTGCCTAGAATAGCATAACCTGTCGCGCTATCAAGTTATGGAATTCTTTACCACGGGAGTGGGAAGCGAATATGACTTACAACAAATTTGTCCAACTTTATCGTGAATTTCTAATTTTAAAACGCCAAAATGATTTTATGTATTACTAAATTTTAATATTTTTCACGATGTTGCATAATTTTACGATGCTACATATTTTTAAATAGTTAGAGGTATACCTAGGATATAATAATTATCATAATTAATGTGAACTTGGTCTTAGTTGCATTATATATTTAGCTGAGTTTTGTCATGGATTGGAAACCAGTCCATGAATAAAGGATTACTTGACTTGACTTGACTTGAAAGTTCTGGGGGTGGGGTTGTAAAACAGGGGCGTATATGCTCAAAGCGAGTCTTCTTCCTCAACCCGAGAATTAAATGTGTGGCGCCGCCCGTGAAAGAAAATTTGAGAATTTGTGGTGTTGCGATGTTCTCTTTTTTCTCAATGTATTGCGCACTGCTCCACTGGCTGAGCAGAGTACATGTGGCAACATCGCTTTTACTCTGTCGAACTTATGACTTTGAGAAAATCTCACCCATTCGCATAAACTCGCCCTAAACTTAAATTGCACAGGGGACAATGGGAAAGCATTTAGGGCCTCATCCCACCCGCAATATTACGAAAATGTAGAAACTTGACTCAATTTTAGATATTTCACATTCGGCCTCTCAAGTTTACCCGACTCGATTTATATAAGTAACCACACATTTTCATGGTATTCGTACGTATGAACATATTTTTAATGGAATATGTAATTAAAGTTTTTTTTTTTCAAACCGAAAATAATGTTATCTAAGCAGGCTGAGTGTGGAAACTATGCTAAGATTGGTAGAAATCCAATGGTTGAAATGAAAAGCGAAGCCAAGATATTAGACTAGATTAACATTTTTCCAAGCTGATTAATTTGTTTGTAATTAGTAATCAACAATTAGTTCTAAACCGCCAATTACGTATTTAGTTGGCTAATTAATTAGCTTAAGAAATTAATTAGAAAGCCCTGATTTTGATTTCTAACTCATTTGAGGAAGATGTAATAAATTTTAATAATGAATTTTGTTATAAAAGAATTGAGATCACGTAAATGTTGCATAATTATTTTTATTTCTAATTAATTTTTTTGGACTTAATCACAAACCAAGAATTGAACGGAGCCTGCATTGCAAGGGACTTCTAATCCACCCCAAGCACCAACAGCTGCACGGGTTGAGTCTTGATACCTTCCAGCCAGCCAGGCCGCCCTACCGTCAACGGTGGCAAGGCATCTAATCGCATAGAGTGGCTCTCCATTTGCCGTCGCCCCGCCTTGAATCGCCTCCCCCCATTGGGGAAGGCCCTCGGAGGGCTGAAAGTGAAGATTTGCACTTCCCGCATTGTCGAGAACGAAAACCCCTACAGTGGCCACGATTTCCCGCCCTTCTACAGCAATCCGGCATGCCCGGGTGCTGAAGGAGTAATGTCCGGGAACTACTTCGTTCCCATTTTGAACTCGACAGCCGTATGCTTTCTCGTTGCTGGCATCAGTCCCGAACTCGAAGGGATTTACCAAATTGGAGTCGCTGCTCGTGTACGCCCAACCGGAACAGGATTGCTTAGCTCCAACTGTAATGTTAGTTTTTACTTTGTAATCAGTGTTTTGGATGCAAGTAACCACTTGCAAGAAACCACTACAAGAAAGTGTTTTTTCAGTGTTTTTTCAGTTTCTTGCATCTTTTACTGTTTTTTCAATTTCTTGCACATGAAAAAAACCACTTTGCAGTGCAAAAAATGTTTGAAAAGTGCAAGAAACGAAACACTGTTTGTAATAGTTGCGTCTAGTTATGATTTTTTGGTGGTGTGAGGAAGACTTACGTGAGGAAGAGTGGCCTGCTGCCAATAAGGCAGAAATGAGGATGAAGTACTTCATGTTAAATTTGGGTAAGAATAAATTCCCGCGATGTGGTGGTTGAGACTGTACGGAGGTAAATGTAGTGGCGTGCTTTATATACGTTTGTCTCAAAAAATAGTGGCATGTTTGACACTATACGTGGCTCACACACTGGCTGCGTGACACAATCATTTCAATTGTTATTAATTTGTTAATAACACACTCCAATCAATTAACAAGTTGTCATGTCAAACCCATTGTTGAGGTGGACAGGGAAAAAGAAGATAATGTCTGATGGATTGTTTGTTTTAGCTAGATAATCCTGACTATGCAAGTTGCACACGACCCACTCATCTGGGCTCGTGTGAAATTGTCAGACGTGAAATTATTTTTCTGCGCACGAAACTTATATTGCACACCACAGGAGTATAATATTGATATTTTTAGCGTCGCCCGTATCTGACGTTTTTTATCATGATATTTATGTCAAAGTCGTAATGTGTTAAGTTTAAATTAATTTCGGTCAATCTCAAAAGTGAATTTTTTAAAACACTGCGACAGTGATTGATGCACTTGCTGGCTGGCATTTACTGGAACAATAGCTGTGCAAAAATTTTCCCTTCATTCATTCGGATTTGAAGATCGCCATCCTTCATTCACCTTCATTCAATTTCCCTCCCTTCACCCCATGTATTTAATATAGCGGAAAAATTAGGGAAGCCTCAATTATTTAATTCATCATTATGTGTGGGTGAAGAATCCTTCACTCACCTTCACTCATTCTTTCTTCAATCGCCTTCAATCACCCTTCATTTCACCATTATGAATGAAGGTGCACAGGTCTGGATAATTGAATATCGTTTCAACATCAAATTTAAATTTCCCATTGATTCATCATCTAATGTGTGTGAAGACTCCTTCACATTTACTCATTTTTATTTCATTCACCGTCATTCACCCTTTATTTCGGCATTTTCAATGAAGGTGCACAGGTATGGCTGGAACAATAAGTAATATTTATAAACAATAAGTAATATATGCATCATATTGATATTTACATACATAAATACGTTACAAATCGTAGAAAATTATTTATTACCACGTAGATAAAATAATGTTGTGGCATATCGTAATATTATTGAACCAATCTTACTTTGGCAGGTTTAATTATAATCTACTTTGTAATAAATAAATAAACTAATAAATTATCGCGGTTCTTGCCAAACCTCGATAAGTGATGGGTGGTAATACGATATTTGTTATGCTTGTTTGCTTGTTTGTTTGCTGGCTTGTATCAGGGTTTCGTTTTTGGACGTGCAAAAGTGTACAAAAGTTTTCAATGGGGTAAAATGAATTGTATCAGTTTGCCCCATTTTGCACTTATGGACACCTCAGGATTGGTGTCCAAAACCAGAAAAAATGAAAAATAGCATTTAACGTCACTAGATATCAGATCTTTCTGTTCTGGTTTTCAATCCATGACGGGGCCTCCTCACCATATATTCTATGGCGGTGAGTTGGCTCTTCCCAGCAGAGAACGGACTCTGTTGAGGACCCCTTTCTACAGCATTGCCAGCAGGCCTGTTTACTCAACTGGTCGTAAAGCATTGTGCCACCACCTTCTCGACTTTTTCCCCCCATCCAAACCAACGTAGAAAAAGGTTCAAAATTTAATCGCATTAAAGATATCAAAATAAGTATCCTGAAAATAAGTGTTATATTTTGAACCTGAAATTTTTCCATTTTTTTCAAATTTAAGAAGTTTACCTAATGTATTTACCTGATGTTTGGTTATTTTTCGGATGCCTTGGTGCGTGGTGCTCCTGCTTGGTTAAAGTATAGGAGGGGGCCCTGCAGGACTGATGGCGTCGATTTTGGTGTTTTTTTGTATATGCAAATTTAGGTAGAAAAATCACCAAAACGACAATTATAGCGCGTGGGTGTGGTTATTAAGGGGTGCGGTTGGGGCAATATGAGAATTTAGCTCTAATTTGTGCCATTTCACTATTAAAGTTTAAAAATGCTGCAAAGCTTATTTTTTGCAAGTGTTATTTAACAGCAGAAACACTGGTGGAGGGGTTCACTTTACTTAAAAAATAAGTTTTGCAGATTTCACCCACCGGGCTCACGCAACCGCCGAAAGGAGCACCCACCCCGTACAACACACAAGAGGGCAACAGTGTCCTGTCCACAGTAGTTTTATCCAAGCGAAGCCCTGGCCTTTACTTCACGTATCATTCAACCTATCAGTGCATAATTAGACTGGTCTCCCTAGGGAGACACGACTGGACAAATTATCTATATTTAAAATTGACTACTATACAATCTAACTTAAAGGTGAAATATTTAACGTAAACTATGTACCTACTCTGTTCACATAAAGTGTTACTGGGATAAACAGGAACCGCTTTTTCAATTTTGGGAATTTAAATTTTATTTTTATTTCATTGAAAAGCCAGTTAAATTTTGAACAGAAAACATGTGTCACACTTCAAAATTTATCCCCCCTACGTAGCTAAATTTTTGAACTCGCGAACGCCAAGCACCCGCTGCGACACGCGCTCCATTCATGCACAAATTGTCGCATTCCGGGGTCAGAAATTTTTTTGTGACCCAGACACTTATATGGGGCTCAGAACATACATTTTCTTCAACTCTAATAAATATTTGGTGTTGAAGTAGATTAAGGTCGGGAAATGCCAAGGTCAAACATGAAGTCAGAAATGTGGATCCTAATCCATTTTTTCACGAATTTCGCACTAATTGTTAGCGTGGAGCCCTGTACAAGTGTCCACAGCTTACCACCCGATATGAATTGGTTGGTGGGGTGTTTCACCTTGGCCAGGACGTTAATAATAAAATTTTTTGCATCTACCCCCACCCCCCACTCGACGAAATTTAAGGTTTTGGACCAATTCCGTCGCTTTCCGCAACTGAGAGTGACTCCGGAGGGTGTGACCTTTTGACCCTCTTTTGCAACTGTCCAATCCTTAATATATTTGCCATAAAACGTTCTATCCTGTTCGTTGAAATACACTTCCATCATGAAGATATTCACATTGGTAAACAATAAAATTTCAGCATTTTTACCGTGCCTGCTTGGGAGGACCTTGCCATTTTTTACACGGACATATTCCTGCGGAATCGTTAACGTGTGGGACTCGGGAATAATTGAAGGCCTTCATCTTGGGGTCATTTTACAGCTTTCTTCCGATTGCTGAGTTTGCAGGTCATCTGTATGGCCAAAGTCTTCGGCGCTTGAGTGTGATTTTGTAGTATTCTGGCGCTTGTAGCGTTGGACATTCCAGGAATTTTCTGCGACCTTAGACGATCGGAAATTTTGCATTTATTAATTGCCCCCTTCCCTAAGATTATTTTAATAGCTTGGGCGACGACATAGTAGCTGACCATGAAAAGCTACACCACTTTAAAAATTGATATTTTTTTGCTAGGTGTAAAAATAAAAAATGATGGCTGTTCTCTTCTGCTTGCGCTTATATAAATTTTTACGTAGTGGGATCAGGAAAAAGCGGTTGGTACCTAATCATAGATACTGAATCAAGGAACACCATACAACCTATCTTTTAATTTTAGCTTATCGGGTTCAAAAGTACTGGGCGAGTAACACTTTATGTGAATGGACTAGGTAGGCTTAAACACTGCTTAACTAGCAATGCGTGGTCACCAACTAGGTCACGCCAAATTAAATAAGACCTGCACTTATTTATAGATGAGGTCATATGAATATAAGGTTCAATAGGTCACTTTAATGAATGGGCAGTTTTAGCGGAGGTGGAGGAGGTCAAAATTTGAGAAAATGCAAGAGCTTTCTATGGGAGTGGAGAATAGGGTTGCCTGTTAAACTGCCCACTCAAGAAAGTGACCTATTGAACCTTATATTCATTTGACCTCATCCATAAATAAGTGCAGGTCTTATTTAATTTGGCTTGACCAGGTTGGGGACCACGCATTGTAACCTCAATATATAAAAAAAAATTAGTTATCCTGTTACATGACAAAATAAATAATAAATAATTATGTAACGTGTTCTTAGACATGAAGTCACTTTGAAGAGTAGTGGACTATGTTGGGGGGGGGGGGCTCCGACGGCAAAAAGCAGTCGTAATGAGTTGTAAGTGATGTGGACGACGAGGTTGTGGACGACGGTGAGTCAAACACGATCGGGGTGGGGAGAAGGGGGACCTTCGCCGTCCTCGTCGTGTCCATTTTAATTGTCGACGTATCGAGGGCTGTTGTGATCCTTCTGGTGATGGTTCATCCGCAGGGCAATCCTGAGCTTTGTGAATCAGAGTTGGGACTTTTTATCAGCCCCTCACCCTCCCCTCCCCTCACCAGTTTCTCAATTTTTTACCCCTCACCCTCCCCTCCCCTCACCAGTTCCTCAATTTTTTACCCCTCACCCTCCCCTCCCCTCACCAGTTCCTCAATTTTTTGCCCCTCACCCTCCCCTCCCCTCACCAGTTCCTCATTTTTTTGCCCCTCACCCTCCCCTCCCCTCAAACATTTCGCAATTTTTTATCTCTCATCCCCTCACTAATTTTTAAAACGTATTTTTGTTCAAAAACTTGTTTTTATTAATGGTAGTGATTAAAGTAATTTTTGGTTTCTGTGTTCGTATCTGGCAAGGAAAAATTTTGAACTTTTGATCCAAAAAGTTAATTTTTCAGATGTTAGTTCTCCTCAGCTAGTCTTCGGTAGACATGTGGAGCAAATGAACATGATTTTGAAGGTTGAATCATCATGATTTTTGCGGAAAAATTGTCATTTTGGCCCTCAAATTTTTAACCCCTCGCCCTCCCCTCAAAATTTTCTCGATTTCTTAGCCCTCACCCTCCCCTCCCCTCACCAATTTCGCAATTTTTTACCCCTCACCCTCCCCTCCGCTCACCAGTTCCTCATTTTTTTGCCCCTCACCCTCCCCTCCCCTCATTTTGAGGGTGAGGGGCAAAAATCCCAACTCTGTTGTGGATTCTGTCGCGGGTGTTTGGGTACGGAGAAGGGACCAAGTGGATCCACCCAAACAAGAAAAAGCGGATCAGGATAAGGTTTTATATAAAGGAAACTAAAGTGGGAAGTTTCTCGCCTTATTCAGGCCTTAAAAAGGCACGAGAGGAGGCAGCCTCCATAGGGCGGTCACTCAAATTCCGTGCCGACACTGTGAGGCGCAGGGGCTCCTCCCGTACACAACCGAAGTCGTGGGATCTTCCGATGGTAGATCCAGTGACGGGTTGAAAGAATAAGAGTCCACTTTCAGGAATAAGGGGAAGAAGGATTGACATCGATTCTGATTCGGTCATGATCCAATAGGTCACTTAGAAGGGGGTAACACGGTCCCCACTTCACTAACACTGCCTTGATAGGCCTACTAGGGAGAAGGGGGCACAAATTGGAAGTGTGGGGGTGCCCTACAACTCTGCCCTGCCCTGAAAATTTAATTTTTAAACAGAGGAGCGGAGGGTAACGTGTGCTCTCACTTGAGCTTCTCGTCCTCATCAATATTATTTATGCAGTGATTCTTGCCAATTCGGAAGTCCAACTTATTATAGCTCAGTTCTTTTTAATTAACAAATGAGTAACACATTATCTTTATGTGGCAAATTTTAAACCTAAAACTGGACTACCCACCCTTGAAGCTGGTGATTTGATACAAAATTATTTTTGTATTTCTTATTTTTTATTATCACGAGTAGGATTTTAGGAAGTAGAAAATTAAAAATTAAACCGGAACTGATTTTAAAGGAGTCGAACATCTTAAACCCATATCTTGCCCTATTATGTTTTTAGTAAAATACTATTGCACTATCAACTTGAAAACTGGATTCTCGGCTAGTATACTTAAAAAACAATACAAAATCGATCAAGGTGCAATCATTGATTTAACGGTCTCACATCTCGTAGGTCAGCATTTAAATTAACATCACAGGGCATGAATTTACAGCTTCAAAATACACCCAACATTTTTAGAAGACGTGCACCACTCCATTTATCAACTGGTTCGACACATTTGATCTCCTTTTATCACGGGTTACCTTGCTGGTTGGGATTTGCACACGATTTGCACACGTCCGTTTGCCTAAATTTAAACCACCGTGTGCAAAACAAACAATACCAAATGCAGAGAAGTGCTGCCATACATATATTAATTAACAGTCGCATATCTCATGGTTGGAATGCAGAATCGATATCATTGTCGATATTTGTATTTTACTTACTGTAGCATTGATCTCCTCTTAGCAATTGTTGACAAACTTGACTGATGGGCTTTGCACACGTTCACTTTAACCACGGTGCACATCTTTCTATTCTTAACCAGCATTGACATTGACATTGATTGACCACGAACCAAGTCACGTAAACTGTTTGCGCAATCAGTATCACGTATTGTGGACATGAATAAAGAACTCGGTATAAAAGTCACCACTCAAACCGTGCCAAAATTACTTGGTCTCTGCGACTTGAACACAATGTACCAAATATTGTCCTTTATTCTAGCCTTCGCCGTCGGGGTGGTAGTTCCTCACGGTGGAATGATCGACCCGCCGGGGAGGAACTACATGTACCACGCAGGCTTCGAAGGAACCCCACCAAACTGGAATTGGCAAGCTGTCTGGTGTAACGACGTTCCTCAAGCAATCGACGTCCCGGAATCTACTTGTGGTATTTAAACATGTGAACATCTTAAATTTGGGTGTGCCTTAAGCTTTTGCTTGACACTTGTACCCGGCTAGCTTTCCCTAATTTAAATATTAGGCAGTTTGTGTACATACCTTTTTAGGATTTCCGTCACGCTCCGTATGACTTGAGACTGGTCAAAATTTTCATAGTGTATATGGAATATGTGAAGACTAAGCCCGCCAAAATTTACAAATTTGTTCTTGAAATTTTGACACTCTCAAGATATAAGGAGCGTCACGGAAATCCTAAACACGTAGCTGAACAAACTCCTTATTGCTTAGGCATGTGTGGCGACGTTCCTAGCGATCCTGCCCCCAGAGAGAATGAGAATGGAGGCTATTATGGGAAAGCAACCGTTGGCAAGAACTATACCGCTGGCTCTGTAAGAGTGACCTACTATGATGGAATAATTAAGAAAAATTCATATTTGTTTCTGTGATAGATTATCGATGTTCGAACCGAATTCGGCGCTGCTCACTACGGATACATGGAGTTTCACTTGTGCCAAACTAGCATCGAGTCGCCAGGTTGTTTCCAGAAACTTGCAATTGTTGGAGGAAGTGAAGACATCATTCCAGAAGAAAGAATGTGCGTCCCATACCCAAACAGCGAAACTAGAATACTCACCGCCAGACTTCAACTTCCAGCTGGGGTGCGATGTAACCGATGCACGTTAAGATGGACGTATCGAACAGCTTACCCGGGATGGGGAGGTATGGTCAATCAGGGACAAAACCACCCTGGACAGGACACTGTCCAAAAGTGGTTTTCCAATCCTGAGGTGTCCAAAAGTGAAAAGTGGGGTAAACCGATACAATTCATATTACCCCATCGGACACTTGCGTACACTTTTGGGAAAACCCTGTCGTCAATGAAAAAATACCATGTTTGAGCCGAATTTGAAGTACTAAATATTAATTGTGCATTAACAGGTTGGCATGAGTGTGCCGTTAATCCCAACCCAGCCCAAGTGTTCAGGAATTGTGCTGACATTAGCATCCAGTGAAAATAGTGGTTAATTGGTTAAACTCTTACTGCTTACAAGGCGAGATGAAATAATATGTGAATGTATATATATGAAGTAAATTTAGTATGTTATTTACGTCAATGTGAAATATGGTTGTGCCAAATCTTACGAACCGCAATTGTTAAAACAAAATTTTCAAAATTAAATTAAATCAAAATCAAATATATGTATTTATTAAGGGGTGAATCCCCTTTATCAGATAGTCTTCTCTCTCTGCCTGCTGTCCATACGTTTCGAAAAGCTGGGCCTTGAGACTTGATAAATATTTGAAACATAAGTTCCTTGGGTCCCATCTCAGGACAAGATGGAAGATTGGCTCTTAAGGTCTCACCCTCGAGAGGGTCCACCCAAAAAGTAAAGGTAACCATATGTGAAATAGTTCCGCCATTAAATTGGGTGGCTTGGGGTAGATTGAATCGTATTGGGGAGAGCTTTCAAACTTGACCTCTATCCGTAACTTTCCAAAGCACGGAGACGTGGCCCCTGGTGAGTTTTGGTCACAAATACCAGTTTCATTAAGATCATTTTATTAAGATCATTTTATTCAAATATCCGTAATACCTACTTAAAAATCTAAGATTTCTCTGCTCCACCGAACATTTCCAATACAGCAAAATAAATAAGTTGTGGTAATAACGATCCCTAATCTGAAAATAAGTGCCTCTTCCCCGCTTCCCTGTCCCATAAAAATAACGTCATTTGGACCATTAAGTTCCCCAAGATTCATCTTATTATTCTGTAGTAATGGCTCACAATGTTCCTTCCCCGTCATCGATACCAGTCCCGTTAATAATTCTTCTAAATACATTACATGACGGAGATTACGCGACTGCTTGCGTGGCTTATGGAACTCCGACATGGATCGTAAAAGGGGAGGAGTCCGCAAGTTTGCTAAGCATTTAATATCATTTGCGTAAGTTTTGCCATTTATTTGGTGAGGGTCAAAATGGCATAATTATGGTGAACTTGGTTTAAGACGAGAGATCTACATAAACTATATGGAGGACGAGATGATAGAGAAAACAAAAAAAAATTGGAAGAGTATGACATGTCTAGGCAGTTGGAGAGTGCAACTGGCACCCGTTAATTATAATATTTGTCCAGTCTGTCTGTCTGGAATCCCTGAATCTTTAAATCTTGAATCATTAAATCTTGAATCTCGATATTTAAAATCTTGAATTCCTGAGTCTTGAGTTTTTGAATATTGAGTCCTTGAATCTTGAGTGGTGACTTTGTCATAAGCGAAGCACAAAGATACACTCAACATAATTTGTTAACAGGATTGTCTCCTGGTGCAGGTACTGTTCAATTCCACCGTCTTGGACACATTTCGTCTCCGGGAGCACATACACCGAGCCTAAATCCTGCCCCGGCACCTTAGTTACTTTATGGGAGGAGAAATATCTCAAGCACTGGGAACAATTAGATAATTACCATCGGATAGCAAATTATTACTATAAATTGTCACCCCCGGTAGAATTGAATACTGCCTACATCACTAACAATATTGTCTCCCAATTATTTTTAGTGTATGAGTATCCAAAGAGTGTATACTTCCGCTAAGATAAACACCGGACATGCATCTACCATCAACAAGCGGTCCGCACCACAACCACCGCAACCTTCAACATTCCCAAGGTGCTCAGTGTAACATTGACAGTGTTATCAGTGGACTGTGCACGCAAAATAATTTAGGGACAAAAATTGTTACCTCTATCGCCTAGTGCCTAGAAGGCCGGAGACAAGGGACACTACCGTTAAAGAGAAGAAAATGTTGCCGTTCAGTAATAAAGTTGCATCCGTTTATCGATAATTGTTACGGTTCGATGATAACTTTTTTATTTTACGGAGGCAATTATCACTACGCGAATACAATTTTATGTATTAGCAAACGGAAACATTTTCTTTTCCGTAAGAGTAGTGTCCCTTGTCTCTGGCCTTGTAGGAACTATGCGATCAAGGTAAGTATTTTTGTCTCCAAATTATTTTGAATGTGTTACAAATAATGATCTAAATGAATGGAATCAAGATAGGCTTAATCAAGCCGTTTCACAGGCAAAGGCAAAAAAATAGTGTTATAATGCTCCAGTTGGAGGTAATCGGGTAAACATGAATCACGTCAATTAAATTACATTTCCGATGGAACTTTATTTAGCATTATGTTCCTCGCAAAGAAAATCTTAAGGTTCAGGTAAAAACTGAGTGCGTATGGGTGGTCGCTGGATAATGCGATCAACTCAAAGTATTGTGTCATGATGTTTTAATGATATATGTGGTCTTGGCGCTTTCGGAATTAATTGAACAAACCATGTCATGCGACACCAATTATTTTTCAGGAGAGAAAGCTCATCATGATCGTCATTCCAATTTCTGAAAAACCACACCCACACGTGGGTGTGGTCTTGGCATTTTCGGCATTTATAGAATAAACCACATCATGTGATACCAATTAGTTTTCAGCAAGGAAACGCAAGTATCACATTGGCCATTAATTTTGATAATCTCAAGGGGGTGGTCGGACTGACCACACCCCATATGAGGTAATGTGAGATTCCGATCAAAATGTTGATACGATGCGAAGACAACTTGGATTAATTACTTTGAGGGGCTCTCCCACTTAACCAAAACACCTGTTGGGAGAAATATGATATTGAGATGTGTGTATTAAAAAAATAACCTGGGATTTGAATATCTTGGGACCATTTTTTAACGACAATGTCCCACCAGACCACAACTCCGAATGGCATGTAACCTAGATTTGCTAATTTTTATTTAAATTTGCCTCACCAAATGTGAATGTGGCTACAGATTATAAAAATATTATTAATGCTAACTAAATTTTTTAATTCAAACTTATAAGGTTCATAATGATGCTTAACTTGGAGAAATATATTAAACCTTGTTTTAATATTTCACTGATTTTTATTCTATCTATCATACTTATCAAAACTAAATTCAAATTTTTAAGTATTGAAAAAGTTTGTTAACTAATTGCCACAATCTAGAATTTATGTATTTTTTACATGCCCAGACTGATAAGGAAATTTTTTTACGTCTTTTCGATATTGGTTTATTTTCAATTATGTTATTGTATTGCTTTCAAATAGAGTTCAGAACTCAAGATGCAATAGTTCAAAGTGTCGAATTTTCTAATGGATGTTTTAAGGCAGGTTAAGCAAAATAAAAATAGTAGTACGTAAAACTAAATTATATTTCAAACAAATCCTACAACCCGTGTTGTGGTTAAGTGGGAAAGCCCCTCAAATTAATTAATCCAAGTTGCCTTCGCATCGTATCAACATTTTGATCGGAATCTCACATTACCTCGTAGGGGGTGTGGTCAGTCCGAGCACCCCCTTGCGATTTTCAAAGTTAGTGGCCAATTTGATACTTGCCTTTCCTTCCTGAAAAATAATTGGTATCACATGATGTGGTTTATTCTATAAATGCCGAAAATGCCAAGACCACACCCACGTGTGGGTGTGGTTTTTCATAGTTCGAGAAGCTTTAACACATGGGAAAATATGGAGAAGTTCCTTCCCAAGAAAAACTTGGGCGGGGAAATATGCAAAAAAAACGAAGAGAGCCGACTAGAAGAATACTTAGGTATAAACACAAAAAGTCGCATATTATTAAATATTCTTATTTATTAAAATCTTTAACAATACCACATAAGAACTTCACAACACTTGTACTTTGTGGGGTGGCCGTCAAGAGGAATAGCCCAGCCAGTGGTGATACCACATTTATGTATGTAAAGCTAATTACATAAAGATCTAACTGCCATAAACAAAACTTGGTCCAATTAATTAACAAACAATGCATATTTATTAACTGAGAACAATTCAACCGGCAGTAAACAATGAGTTGCTTTAAACACTGTATTTTTTTTATTACTAAATCGCATCCGTGTTTATTTGAGATGGATTGTACGCTTTACGATTCATTCTGAGACACTAATAAATATCTCGTAGATATAAATATAGAATTAACATTATATAAGTAACATACTTTCGATGTCATCCCGAGACTATCTGGTACTGTTCATAATTACTTCTAGGTACAATTAAGGCTTTAATGATATGTATAAACCTTCGAGGTTAATATGTACAAAGTGTGCGCTAAACATTTTATTTTCAACAGCTCGTCGACCTACATGAGAACTGGATTTAATCAGAATACCTTGAACATTCCTGAGGCATCTGGGTATCCACTTTACAACCGAGAGTATAGCGGAGGACAACTAGAAAATGGAATGAAAGTTGTTCTAATTAGTGACAAAACATGGACATACGCGTCGGCCAGCTTGCATGTGGCTGCAGGTAAAGTTTTATTTATGCAGAGACCAGAGATAAAAATACATAATTAGACTGCTGAAGATGGTTGTCAAGTGGGGAAAAGTAAAATTTGAACCCTTATCCATGATCGCACTAAAATTTAAAACAATTTTGATTTACAAAAATAATTCTTCCTAGAAGGAGACTAAATTGGTTTATATATTTATGTGGTTTGCAACAGTTGATTAGTAATTTTTCTTGATTAAATTCTTTTGCATAATTGAATATGCAGAGTTAGGTAATTTTATATGTGTATTGAATATATTTGCAAGTATATTATGTATGTATCTATGTAAAGGTATTCAAAATATAATACATATACTTTTCGTGTATTTTATCTAAAAACTTTCTGAAAAAAGTATATTTTATGTAGGACATATATTAATCAAAAACTAGTACTCTAAATATGCAATATACATAAATATGTAAAATTTGTTTTTTTTAACATTAACATTGTGTTTTGTTTGTACATTCAAATTCTGGATTCAACAAGTTAAAATTCAGGAATTGCAATACTTGACTAGTTTACATATTTAGAATTACATTTACAAATTAGTAATAGACACAGGCCCGATATAATCATAAATACGAAAATAGTCGTTTTTCAAATTTTTGTTTCTAATGTGTTCGGTGGTCGATAGAACCCGATAGTGCTGGGACCGTTTCGGATCATACATGAAACGGAAACGCGTTTCGTTTCTGTTTCGTTTCTCAAATTTTGGAGAGGGTTGATTTCGTTTCCGTTTCTTGGAGGGAACGAAACGAAACGAGAAACGGTTGTCGTGTAATATTTATGGTCCATTTTGAAATCGTTTTAACTCAAAGTATTTATATTTAGGGCATATGAACAACCCTAGCCAGATACCTGGGTTAGCCCACTTACTTGAACATATGTTATTCACCCGAAACCAAAAGAACCCTACACCCTACGGATTTTCAAATTTCGCGATCAGTCATGCAGGCTCATTCTTGGCGGAAACTGAGCTATCCTACACCCGTTACTATATGACTGTTCAAGAAAACGTGCTGAAGGAAGGGTTGGAACAGTAAGTTACTTAGGTAAACTTAAGATTGGTGTAAGTTGCAACATATTCATATACTTATAATTTTGTAGATTGTTCGACACCGTTGCATCGCCAATTTTAAGTGAAGAATTTGTCGAGGGAGAAGCTGCCATTGTGGAGTCTGAATTTATCAAAGGCCTTAGTCAAGACTCTGTTAGATACAATTCTATTCAGAGAATGACGTCAAGAAAGGGGGATCCGTATGGATATTTTGCGACCGGTAGGTCCGACACCAATGCGAGGTAGGTTTTTCTATTGCCATTAATGTTTTCAACTTTCAGGGAACCAAAATTCTGTCTGGGAACAACCAACCAAGTTCGGAATAAACGTTACTCAGGCTTTGCAAACGTTTTATGAAACCTTCTATTCTGCAAACCTCATGGTGATAGCTGTGGCCGGACCACAACCTCTAGATGAGTTGGAGGACAGTGTGGCAAGATTTTTTAGCGATGTTCCAAACAAAGGGACGCTTTTCCCTATTTGGGATACGTCTCCGTACGGAAGAGAGGAATTAGGAACAATATTAGAAGTTGTGCCTATTAGTGACGTTAGAGAACTGGACATGTACTTTCCCATATTAGTGGAGCACTGGGAACATAGTGTAAGTTAAAGAAGTATTTGTAAATGTAGATTAATAAATGTTAATGAATCCGCAGTTGTACTATGTCGGAATTTTTGAACACGAAAGCAAAAACTCGTTGGCTGAGCATCTCAAAAAATTAGGCTACATTTCGTACCTTACCTGCGAAAGATCAAAACCTTTTCGAGACTATCGCATGATCCTAATTTCCGCAGTACTTACTCCATCTGGACTCGAACGTCAAGATCACATTGTTCAACTAGTTTTTGAGGTTATTTCCTATTTTAAGCTGGTTTTAATTAATGTTTCGAAACTTTAATAAAGTGTCAATTTTAGTATATTTCAATGTTGAAATTGGTTGGACCACAAGAATGGTTTTGGGATGAGATGCAGCAGATTGCTGATGTTAAACGGCGCTGGCGGGACCCGCACCTAACAGAAGAATTGGTTACAAGCATTGGAGCCGACCTACTGGTAACGGCTTGGAAACCTCATAAATATTTTTGATGAATGGGTAAATCTATTTAGAAACAATACTAAATAGGAGCATTCAATTGAAGAATCCATTTTGGAAGCAGTTTTTCAAAATCGGAGTGTGGTTAGCTATTCGGAAGAAATTTTAACCAACATTGCCGAACTTTTAACTCCAGATAATATGAGGCTCACCATATTGTCTCCGAGGGCAGTGAACAAAACGAAATTTTACGAACCAATTTATAAGATTCACTACAACTATGGTAAAATAGAGAGTGAAAAATTAACGGTACAATCATATCAATCAATAATTAGGCAAATCAATCGATAATTACGCAAATCAAATAATTCTTATAGTTACATATTTCTTAGGGATATGCGAACTCTTCCTCTAATATTTTTAGGCAGCTGCCCCCACCGAATGCTTATATTCCGGAATTATTTCAGATTAAGTCCCAAAACGTCGGGGTAAGTAAGTTTTAATATAACTTAGGTATAGCATATAACGTATAAATAAGAACTTGACTGAACCTTGATTTCATTTGAGTAGAAACAATACATCCGTAGCATACTTGTCACAGAATATTCCCTCATGTGGTATCTGGAAGACACAATCTTCAAGGTTCCAAAGGTCATGGTGCGGGTGAAAATAATTAAGTAAATCAAGTTCCTAATAATTTTGACATGTTTATCATTGTTATTCAGCAATACTCTTAATACTCGAACCCAACGGGGTCACGCCAAATTAAATAAGACCTGTACTAATTTATTGGTGAGGTCATATGAATACAAGGTTCAATAGGTCACTTTCTTGAATAGGCAGTTTTAGCGAAGGTAGAGAAGGTCAAAGTTTGAAAAAATGCAAGTTTTCTATGTGAGTGGAGAAATGGGTTGTTGCCCTCAGGCTGCCCTTTTCTGAAAAAAAACTCTTGCATTTTTGTCAAACTTTGACCTTCCCTAGTTCCTACAAAACTGCCTATTCAAGAAAGTGACCTATTGAACCCTGTATTGGCATGACCTCGCTCATAAATTAGGGCAGGTCCTATTTAATTTGGCGTGACCCCGTTGGCGTCCACGCATTGTTAGAAACTATTACATCTGTTGCTTGCAGTCCACATTCATCTGTGACAGCCTTTGATGCTGCGCTTAACGCAATATTTGTGAAAATGCTGGAGCAATATTTCCAGGCAGAACTCTACGGAGCGATGAGGATAGGGTTTGAAATTTCTTTTGACAATTTGCCCTTCGGTATTGAGGCATGTCGGCATATTTAAATTACCATTGAATCGCTCGATTTTACGTGGAAAATGCCTAGGTTGCTGTGGACGGATTCAGTCATCGCATTGATGACATACTAGTGACGATTTTCAATAAGATGTCGAACTTTCCGGTTAACAATGATGCATTTAATATTGCAAAAGATATTTATCGCCGTACCTTGGTGGGAGAATTAGTTACGCAACCATGCGGCCTAGCTGATGTAGAGCTAATCCTGTTCGAAACAAAGTATTCACCAGAACTACTTTTGGAGGTGGAGGAAGGTATGGAGAACATTACAACTTTTTAGATTTAATTTTAATATGGAATTGCAATTGTGAAAAATTTTGTAACCAATGGGGGAATCGAACCCACGTCGTCTGAATACATATCAGACGCTTTTCCATTAAGCTACCAAGGCACCGCTTCCTGCACATTGCAATTTTACTCATATTTATGTGGTCGTTCTGTGAATTTCTACTTTTTAGATATTTTAGATTCAGATTTGGTTTGTTAACACAGGGCTGGAGCTAAACGACTTTGTGATGTTTTACTCTCAGTTTCTTTCCCATCCCAGATTTGAGTGGTTCATATATGGGAACCTTCTGCCATTGGTAAATCAGAAATATGTATATCTTACCACTATTTCGGGAACGCTAACCAGTTTCAGTGGTTAGAAAGCCAAACCGATAGTACGCCGTGTAGAAGATTTGCTCCGCATGCGCGGCGTGCATCCAGGACTGGCATCTTACTACGAGAGGATGCTTCGCGAAGTTGAAATTCCTTCTGGTTAGAATTCCAATTTGGTACACATAATAAACTGTAATCCTAAACAGGTTGGTTAAATTGTAGGAACCGTCATTAAATACAAAATTCGGACAGATGATACAAAAAACACATGTTCAAAAGTTATTCTTCAAGCAGATGTGACATCATTCCGGAGTAAAATTAAGGCTCAAATGATTTCAGATTTCATGAAGGCGCCAATTATGACGCAACTTCGGACAAATGAACAATTAGGTTATATCGTGGAAACAGAGTGCTCTCCACTAGTTGGTCGCACCTCCACTATCCTGGCCGTTTCTGTGCAAGGAGTGCTACCTCCTAACACTGTGGAACGAGGGATTAATCGATTCCTTGAAAGTTTCGAGGTAAGAGGCAACCATGGAAAGGAGGACATTATTAGTAATTTTAGTAAACAAAGATTTTTTTCGTACTCAGAACGATTTGAGGACAATGTCTGAAGAAATATTTGTTCAAAAACGTTCAAGTATGGGGGACATATTTCAATCTGTATTCACTGACTTGTTTAAAAATGGGGCGTATTACTGGAAGGAAATAAAATTTGGGAAATACAACTTCAACAGAAAAGCGAATGGAGCTAGGCTTGCGTCAACAATAACGTTAAAAGAGCTACAAGGGTTTTACAAAGTTTGTGCAATTGTTAAATTCAAGCCGTTTTAATTGTTATGAATTCTCACAATCAATTTTTTTGACTGTAGAAACTGATAGGGAAAATGAGAAAAAGTGTGACGATATATGTCACAAACCGCACTGACTGGGTTGAAGATCCGGATCCGGAAATATTTCATGTATGTTACTGCCGTTCCGGCACTTTATAACGTCAATGCTAAGGATTTTTTGAAATTTGAGCATTTTGTAAAAATGTGGAAGTCCACGAATATTTTGTTATCATTATGTCAAGCCTTAATTACGTGGGTGTTATATACTGTCGCATGTACAATGGACATATTGTCCATGAGTATGTATATACATATAAAACGAAAAACTTAATATAAATATTTTATTAAAATTTAGAAAGAAATAACTAACTTGAGTATTTGGAAGAGGACGCTGAACTTGAGACCCTAGCCAGAATTACTCCTGTACCCCAATTGTAAAAACGTATCTATGTATGTACACAAATTTGCCTGTCCTTATTATCTGAAAGATGATGAAAAAAACATAACTCCAAAATATTTTAAAATTTCATTACTTTGTGTATTTTAAGGTTTTTTTTAAATATTTTAAATATATAACTTGAAAAATTAAAATTTCTATCCCAAGAATTGGTTTCCTGTACATATTGTATTATGTAAAAATTTTTTTAGCAGTGTACTTTTCTGAGATTCAGGAGAAGGAAATTCCAACAGATTGGGGTGAAACTATTACCGTTATGGTGCTTAAGAAGGGCGACCCCCTAAACCCTCTGGATTATAGACTAATTGCGTTGCTTAACACAATGTTAAAAGTGTTCACACAGATTCTTAGTATGAGACTAGCAGCATGGGCCATTGCATCCAAGACAATGGCAGAATCCCAGAGTAGATTTAGAGCAGGGAGAAGATGCGATGACCAAATTTTTACACTTACGTCAGCAATCCATATAGGGTTAAGAAAACCAGCAGACAAGGTCTATGCACTCTTTATAGACTTCTCTCGTTGTTTTCCTAGTTTGACGCATAAACGGATTTGGGCAAACTTATTCCACCTGGGTGCTAGTGGAAAGATAATCAGAATTTTCCGCAAAATTTATGAATCTTCAGCCACACATATTAAAACCTACAGTACAGTCATAATATAGCCCGAGTCAGTGTGTGATACTCTTTATCAAATAATCCGACTATTTAATACAAATTTCAACCGATTTAATCCTATTTTACAATTTCACCAAGTTTTAGCTCTTTACCATAATTTGTCAAGACCAGTGTGGGTCACCCCCTAGGGTCTCACTAAATGAAAAATTTTCAAATCAAACTATATACTCTTTCAATTGGAGTGGTTGTGGACCTCTGTGCAAATTTTCAGGTCCATGTGACAATTTCTAAAAATCGACATGGGTCGACCCTTGTGGTCCCTCAGATGAAATTTTTTTTCAAATTTACTTGATATTCGTCATTCCTGCCCCACATATCACTACCATGCCAAATTTTAGCCCCCTACGACAATCTTGAAAAAAACCAGTGTGGGTCGACCCTCTACGGTCCCTCCAGAAAAGTATTTTGGCAATTTTACTTCATATTATTAATTTCTGACCTATATAGCGCCACCATGCCAAATTTCAGCCTCCTACGACATTTTTTAAAATTTGATGCATAATAATCCCACCACCTACATGACCCCCACCGGTCAACCACTTGACCGATTTGGCTCATCTTCGAACTTGATTCCCGACTTTGTCCATACTACCTGTGTACCAAATTTCAAGTCGATCGGATATGTTTAAAGAGAGTTATCGGTCGGCCAGACAGACAGACGGACACGATGACTACATAAGCCCTGACTCGGCTCGGGCTAAAATGGATGACAGTTTCTCATCCGCTATTCCAATGACTGAAGGCATCCTACAGGGAGATCCGGCATCTTATTGTATCTATGTCGCTGATATTCGAGTCTTGGAATACCGAAGTTCGGAACAGATTTATCCTACCCAACACACGGCCCATCAGCAATGAATAGGCTAGGCTACTTAAAAAGTGTCGTGTGTTTAGTGAAGCCACTTAAGTTTAATTTATTTAATCGAGAATTAGCTGAGCCATATCATACCAAGTGCACCAGAATATCAGTTTCCATCTTCAGCGAGAAACTCGGGTTCTGGTGGTATCCACCACCACCAGAATCTGTGTTTCCGACAGTGCCGTACGTGTTGCACTTTGACCATGCGGATAAATTAAATCTTGGCTTATAAAAACATGATAAGATTTCAATTGTTATCATGATTGAATCATATTAATTTGGGGCGATTTGAATAAATAAAATTTGCTTATCTTAAACATTGATAAGTACATTGATAAGCCCAGCTGCGCTAATTATCAAGTCGATATCATCATTGTAACATTAGATAAGCTTACTTTTTTAATTTGGGGCGACTATCTAATTTTAATAGTACGATAATTGCAACTATTATCTCACCAGTGGCAATAGTTTGTTACGGCACTTGACAGAAAAGATGGCTCCCAAAGAAACTTTGACCGCAAAAAAGTCATGGTCCCGGTCATTTCCCGTTGGACAACAAAAGCTGAAAATGTAGCTCTTCTGACTTAGAAAAATCTGGCATCAGGTTGTCAGCCGGGAAATGACCGGGACCATGAGTTTTTCAACGATTTGTGTCGATAAAAAAGCGCGAATTTTCGAATTTTGAAACTTTTGATGCATCAAAATGTTCGTATTCATAGGAGAATTGAAATGTCAAATGCAACCTGGGGTCTAATTATTAGTGTGCCGAGTGTGCATTAACTTTCTCATTTTCCCCAATTTTCTTCCCAAATTATCGAAGGGGGTGTGGTTGCATATAATTCAAAAATAGTCATGCTACATTGATCCTTCCAATGGGATATTCCTAGGGATATTTTTAAATGAATTTCGGTGAAATCGATGCGACGGGGGCTGTGCACAGTACATTTGATATGGCTCAGCTTTTGATTAGGACATATTAAGATATACACATGTTTTTGCAAGTCAAAGGATTAATGCCTATTAAAATGTGCAAAACATTTATACCATTTTTAAAAGATTATATGAATACAGAAAGTCACATACATTATATGCATAGCTCATTACACGCTAAGTTTAAAGATAAGCAACTCTAAATACATACGTACATAATTTTCCTGGTAGTCTTATCTTTACGTGGAAAATGATTTATTAACTTGGTGCCAAATATGAGTTTCTACGTGTATTAATGAGATCATGTGCATATACATAAATTGCAATCATCCTATCATCATGATTATTTGTATAGATAATCATATATAGCAAAATTTAGACGTATGTATACATTAAATTCATTCTTGGAATAGCGACATACAATATATGTAGCCGTATATACAATTTAACATTTCCTAAGGCAACTTTTTGCTTGACACCTATTTCAAGGAGGTTTGGTACCCCGAGACGGCGTTATTGAGTTTGGTCATAGTGGGCCAAATTAAATTTTTGGCAAATTCGTAGCTTCCCTAAATTAATGTCACCAGAAATTTGATAAAATTGAAGTGTTTGTGCATATTGTGGAGAAATTGTAGACTGCTGTAATTTTTATTTACTGTACCCATCCCTAATTGGTGAAGCTGTGCGAGCTTCCTGATACAACCACGTTACATCTGACTAGTGGCACAACTTATAATTCAGTATAAATTTTTTTGGAAATTTTTACCAATTTTAATGGATCTAATTCTAATTTATGCTATGTCGGGTGTCAATAGAGTATGAAGCGCACCGAGGGTTACCATACCGTGGAATGTTGTGAAGTCTTAAGTGAACGCATGGATTTAAACTTAAATAAGTTTGAGACTGACTAGCAAATTTATTTAAAGATGTGTGCGTCGCCTTTTTAAAAACGAGAGCAGACGACATGATTATATTACGCGAGAAAAAAGTCAAATATTTGGTACATGTGAAATTTGTTTTAAAATTTTTAATAGTCAAAACAACCAGCCATAATTCTTCTTGCGTCGAGTCGCTTCATGAATGTTTCCATTTTGACCAGCGTTTTCATTTTACCAGAATTTGTAAGTAATTCGAGATTTTTAATACGTTCGTCAACTCCTTCCTCAATTTTGAGCAGTTGATGGTCTTGGCTGCTCCTCGGATAAGAAACCATGGTAGGGTTCATCTCCAGATAACGCCAGAAATTTTTGTCTAACATAAAAAAGAGATTATTTTACATTGTTAAATTTTTTGGGATGTTATTTATATAAAATTTTCCTAACCGAAATGGCGACTTATTTTAAGTTCTAAAAGTTTATTCATGATTTGTCCAAGACCAGTAAATATTCTTGGCTGTGACATTTGTGACGAGGATAAAAATGGATTTCTTGATGTAGTTATTGATGGGAAAATTGTTTTTCTTTTATTAAAACGAAGCTCCTCGAGAAGAAATGAATGAAATAAAATTAAAATAAAAAAGAAATCACGCCTCCGCTTAGTGGGCCTAAGTAATATTCTGGCATGTAGATAAGATAACTTATCTGGATGACGCAAAAAGAGCAGGAGTATATAAACGTATACTGTGTGTCACGTAAATACATCGTGACTGGGCAAAGTTTATTTTTCATCGATTATATGTATCATAACTATCATGTACGAAGTGAACATGCATAATAATGGATGCAACAAAAACTATGATAATTTGAATTTAGAAATAATGGTTGTAATAAAGCATCAATTTTTACCTTATTAAGGTGCGGTTACAGGTGGGATAAATGTACCGGATAAACGTTCCGGTGAAAATTCCACGACATTTTTATCTTTTCAGTATGCTGGTGGCGACCGAAAAGTTGAGAAAATTTATCTCAACTTTTCGCTCAGCTAAAAAACCGTTCTTTTTCGCTGACATTTGCAGTGAAAAGACGACCGTTGTTGGGATAAATGTTCAGCTAAAAGTTGAGTGAAAAATCATAGATTTTGTTCCATTTTACCCCATTTTGTACAAATCAGCGGCATAACTCTGGAAAGAGTTGACATTCACTTATTTTTACGTGTAGTTCATCATTATTAAAATAATTAATTGGTATTTAAATTACCGTAATTTAGTAAAAATTGAAATATAACAAGAAAGAGGAAATCTAATCCGAGGGGGAAGACGGTGCAGATGACAGAGTCGAGATAATTTGAATTGGTCAGTCTTGGAGCAAGTAAAAACAAGAAAATCATTTGGATCATCGAAGATATTACAAACATCAGACAGGTAACGATTTCATTGCAATAGCTACGTGTAATTTTATCATGACTGTCGCATGTATAATTTATTATAATTGTATAACGAGTAAGTTTACTACAATTATTATATGTCATTTTGTAGAAATCTGCAGTCCCAGAATTAGAATCTGCTTGGAAATCTCTGCTCCACAATAATACAAAAGAGACCTCCAAAAAACGAAATCCGGGGATGAAGCTTGGGAAGATCTGTCTGAAGAGGAAGAAGAATGCATCCCATTAAAAAATTATTAAAATGAATAGAGATTAGACAATGAAATATTACTCCATGATTCTAGTATTTTAATTTTGTTATTAATTACACTTAAATAAATTTTCCTAAAAATTCTAAAAATTTATTATGCACTTGTATCAGTATGTCTTCTTTTGTATTGCTATCTGACTCCACAATTTTAGTTTTATAATTGTTTTGTTAAATGGCGTGAATAAACTTTTTGTAAATAATTGATATGAATTTTATAAAAATGCCGCTGATTTGGTTCATATTGCCCCAATTTTTCAATTTATCTCGAAATCCACGAGCATACCGCCCAGTGAAATTACAAGATAAAAATCGAGTGAAATACCGAGATAAAATTTCGTTTGGTACTTTTCACGAACTTTTGTTTTAGTACTTTTTCGCTGGGTTTTTTCGCCAGCGAAAAAGTACCACCAGCATACTAGGCTTTACTAATGAAGTCCTCATTTAAGTAGACATGTCCGTTCAATACAAACAAAAATGTGAACCATAAACCAATCCGAAAAGCCTATTTATTAATGTGAAGCGTAGTAGTGCAATTTAAATTATAAAATAAATGTTTCAATCAATATGGTTGTTACATCACTGATTCTGATAGTAGAAAATTATTCATTAATTTAATTTGGTATTTTTAGCCCCAGTCAAACGGCTTATGTACCCATCGTGCACCATAACTTTCTTTAAACTCATCCGATAAACTTGAAAGTGTGTGCCGTGTGTTATTGCCGCCACATGCCGAGGTCTTCCGTCTGTCTATCCGTACGATAACTCTCTAGTTAGACTTACCCGATCGGCTTGAAATTTTAACTTAATAAAGGTCCAGATTATAACATAATTTTGTGTTGGTGAAGAGTGTACCACCATTATAATAGTTTTGACGAGCCACTTTTAGCCAGCCACTGGTGAAAATGACTTTTAGCCGGTAGAGACGGAACACTGTTTCGAATAGGATGCTCTCATCCATATTCGAACCGCCAGAACTATGTAGATCCAAAACCGAAATCCCATAAGAAACCTGAACCCATGAGAAGTACTACATAATTTCAGGAGCATAAGTGAGTAGGAAAATGTACGAACTATAATAATATTATTTCTTTTTCGTCGTGATATTGTGTTTCCGCTTCTTCCTCAGTTTTTCTCCCAATTTGCTGTTTCGTGATTTCCCTGATTTTTTTATCTTCACGTTGCCCCGCTTTCCCTTTGATTCCTGATATGCGTCATAATCTTTCCCCAATATCATCCGAGCGAAGAAGTCGTATGAAAATTCTGTACATAAAATACAACGTAATTATCTAGCTTATTTATTTATGTAGTGCACAAAATATATAAATAATTGACTACCATTGCAGTATTCCCCCGTGCAGAACTCCAAGTTACAAAGGAGACATATAGAATTGTGCGGCAAAGTAATTCCACCTTTCTTTTTGCGTTCCTGAAATAACTTTTCTGCTTCTAAGGTTCGTGTTTTGTGTCGCAATTTCCCCAATTCCACCAAACGTCCAAAGATATCGTCATCCAAGATTTTGTTTGCTCGAGCCATGGTCAGCATCTAAGTAATCCAAGCATTAGCGTATATATTAAATTTATACCAAAAAATAAAAGTGTTATTTCTAGCCTTCCACGAAATACGAATATCCACCCCAACCAAATCTTCCTGTTTCACTTTTTGCATGGATGACGGGCACGGATCACCATATTCGAATTGTTTTCGAGGAATACGTGCACCACGTTTTAATTTAAATGAAAATTGCGTATCACGAATTTTGACATCTTCTGCACGGACTTTCTCACGACGGATTCGTAATTGCGGGATTTTGTCCAAGTACTTGCTTAATTCTAACTGAGATTGGATTATTACTTGGGAAAAGTCAAGAATTTTAACTTTCTCCTGGACATCGTTGATGATTTCTTCCAACTTATGGGCCATTACGTGTAGAGCGATAACAGACTGATTGTTGAGGAGCAGAGGAGTAATGGTTCACATAAGAAATTTACGTAGTATTATAAAGGGGTGAAACTAACTTTATGATTTGGTCCGTCGTTCTGTCTGTCTGTCCGTCTGTCTGTGGCGAGCACTAACTTCCGAACTACTAAACTTTTTTGAATTCTATTTCGCCAAAAGACATAAAGGGACCAGGCGATGAGTTCGTTAACTAACTGACCTTCTTGGTCATTGCGCTAGATCACAGGCCATAACCTTCTGAATAGCGTTACCACAATATAGGGTGTTAAGAGTTTTTGAAGACATGTCTAGTGCACAGTGCACTAGGTGATTTTTTGACACCATCGTCGTGGCGACGACGCCTATGTCGAAATTTGTGTTTAAACGGTTTTAGACATTCTCTTGAACGGAGATCATGGAAATCAATAACATTTTAACCTACGACCACGCCGTGACCGTTGGGACGGCACCAAAGTCGACAAAATTTCGCCGTTTTTGTTTCGATAGTTCTAGATATACTTTTGAACGGGGACTACGAAATTGAAGCCATTCGGCCCAGTGAGAAGGCCATCACCGTGGCGATGTTTTCCAAAATCGAAAAGTTAACCGCGTGACGTAACAAATGTCTTCACCCCTTCCTTACGTCCTGTTTTTAAACGGTTTATTTCATTCCAAACATGAACTTGTCCTGCATTTTCTGTGATTCATGACGCGATCGTAAAATAGTAGAGTGGGTAAACAATATATAGTGCCCCTTGTTTGTCTTGGTTATTGTCAGTGTCCATTATTTACTATGTACAAATGGATATCCCCATGAGGTTGTTTACTTTCCTGTCAAGTAACTAAGCCTAATTTGGATTGCATTATATTCTCTTATAAATTGCTGAACAAATAAATCAAACATCATAGTAAAATGAAAGAGGTCAGTTTAGTGAATTATGCATTGTATTTCCGATAGATTGCAAAACGTGGGGTCCGTTTCATCAGAAGTTTTCAGTCCTCATTCTGCAAATATTTTGAAAATTTGGAATGCAAGTGTGAGTGATTTTTGTAAAACCGAGGAGTTATGAAAAACCAAAAAAATGACGTTGATTTCAACAATATCAACTCTGCAAATATTTTTAGTACAAACTTTGCACGCTACAATATTTTTATCAAAGTGGTCATGGGGCTCTACAAAAATAATTAACTATATTTTGACTAGGATATTGGCTGGTGCCTGTCGCACCACCTCCGTCGCACTTACTGTGGTGTTTGCAACCAGGAGGGCGAGTGTTAGTAGCACGTAATCAGTGCATGCTACCCCATTCCCGACAAACGACGTTGTATGCGAATGATCCCCACATCCTATCCGCCTAATGCTAACATGGGTGGAATGCGTTCTCACGACACAGAGGCAGAAAGAAATGGGTAAATATATAAGGTAATGTAATTAAGCCAAATTATTCTTGTTTACTGTACTATCTGTTAAATAATAATTGAGATACATTTTCACAATTTACACTGAAATGTGAATCTTGGTAGTCCTCTCCACCCAAGGACTAACAAAATATTCCATCCACCGGTCCACATTTTCAATGGATGTTTGTTGGAAATTGGAGTAAATATTTCCAACCACGACTTAAGCTAACTGAATGCGTAGCAAGAACCTGATGGAGAAGTGCATAAAAAAAATAGTTTGTCCTTGCAGATTTATTAATTTCAATAAAAAATAATTGGGTTTAATTTGAGCATTGGTGAAGCTTCGGTATGTTAGCGTATGTATTTATTATTATTGAGCATGATGCTTGTTCAAATGCTAGTATTTATATGATTATCACAAATCTCCCTTGTTGTTTTTCTGCCCTAATTTCATACGGTTATAAAACCCATTAAATTATTTACAAAATTAACATGAACTGTGTTTTCAAATTTTTTTTTTCGAAAAGTTATAGCGTTCGAAAAAATCGAGACATGAGAGGGTTTAAACTTTTGGCAAGGTGCAGTATGTATATACCGAATCTTAAATTAGATTAGTTCTATAAGAAATTATTTCAAGGCAATAATCGTTGCAATAAAATTGGTAATTAATCAACAAATATTGTTCAAAAAATCAATTATTTCACAGAATACAATTTTTACTGGCACAAATGATTTAATGTATCAAGTTAAATTCCCTGGTTACAAAATGGGAACGATAATAGTGTGTACAGTGTTCGCCAAAAAGCAAAAAAGGGCTGTGAAAAGCAATTATGCATTACAGCCCTCCAAGCAAAAAAGGAGGGCTGTAATGCATAATGGCTTTTTACATGATTTTTTGCAGTTTTGCTTTTTTGCTTTCTTGCTTATGCTTTTTTGCTGTTTTAACAGTCACCATCTAGCGGCATACTTCACAACTACACATGTAAGTTTCGATATAGCAAAAAAACAAAAAAGCGTCCGATTTTGATCAGCAAAAAAGCCGCTAGCAAAACAGCATGCTTTCCATAAAAGGGCGTTTTTTGCTAGGGTGAATACTGAGTGTTTACATTAAGTTTAATTAACTGAGAAAAAGGCGTCAGTAATATTCACCGATATAATAGATATGTCCTCTTAACTGCTGTTCTTTAATCGATTTTTTTAACACGGGACAAATATTGTTAAGCTGTACATTAACGTGACATGAAATACATATTTTTATACATACATATTCTTCATTCACTGCAAGTTGAGCCCGGAGATAATGGAGACTAAATCTCGATGCATGCTTATTTACATTGAACTGAATATAGTCTCCCATATCGCCTTAGGGTGGATGGAGAGTATATCAGTTTTGTGTGTGCGAAGGGTATCGTGAAAGAGTGTACAAATCGTAACAAAATTTTACCCTAATATCAGCCTTCCCCACTATATAAATGCTATGGACATTCGGTGCACATATCTACATATGAACCAAAGGGAGAAATGAATACGGGGAAAGTCGAAGGAGCAAAGTTATTCCTCCACTGTGCACTTTCTCGCACCCTAACTTTCCCCTGTTGTGGGAAAAGATCCGGGTGGAAGGAGATGTCCCGTTATTCCTCCGCTTTCCACCCGATCCTGAATCGGATTGAGAAAATCGATGAAACTCATCCGAATCCCTCCAAGTGGGAGAAAGTGTCCCATAAGCAGACTCCTCTCTCTCCACTCTTTCCCTACCTGAGCTCTTTTTTTCAGTTATTGATATATTCAACCATCATCATGTTTCTTTTTTTAAGGGCTTGTCATTCCTTATCGAAAAATTTAATTCTCGCTATTTCTTTCACGATCTGCTACCAATTTCGAAACCAATTTTGTTTTGGCAATCGATAATAAAATAATGGATATTATTTTCAAGGAGAATTTGCGTAGTTAATTAGTTTGGAGATAAGATTATTTATTTGTGGGGTACAATTGAATTGGAGTAATAATATCCTATGCCGGAATCTTGCGAAGTTGAGCAGGTAGTAGGAAGTAGGAGGAGGAGCAGTTTTATGTCACCGATTAGTCCAGTGGAGGAGGATAAGGTAGATAAGTATTTTATTGCAATTTATGTATTGGCATGGAACTTTGTATTTTTAGTGAAATCAAAATTAATTTTATAGCAAATTAATTATTTCGATGAGGACGAGAAATTAATAACCTATCAGTACAGCTTTGCTTAGCCCGAACCAGGTGACTTTGAAAAATCGGAATGGGTCACCCAATAGGGTCCCTCCAGATAAAAATTTGGTCAATTTCATTTCATCCTCTTCCATTAGGCCCCCAAAACAAGCTTTGTACCAAATTTCAGCTTTCTACGACCATTTTGAAATTTTGGTGCATAATACCCCACCCACTCATATGACCCCCACCGGTCAACCACTTGGCCGATCAACCCCAAAAACTATACAGCACGTCACACTCGATAGATGCACATTTCTTCCAAATTTCATCCAAATCGGTCAAAGCGTTCTTGAGTTATCGCAACACAGACAGACAGACAGACGGACAGAACGGGTACATAAGCCCTGGTTCGGGCTAAAAATTAGTTTTAAAATAAGTAATTAAACCAGGCCAGGAATTAAATTAAAGTTTTTTTTTGCCATAGGTGTATAGATTTGTTCAACTCTTTGAGACACGGTCATCCATAGAAATTAAGGAATGGTTCGAGATTTCCCGCTGGGTCAAGTATGAACAAGACCTGGATGAGATTGGACGTCTCGGCCAGCCCCACGTGGCTCCCATACCGTACTGTTTCACGGCAAAACTGAACCATTTAATAAACAATAGATGTATGCAGATACTACTTATTTTTACTTATTTTGTTGTTTTTTATTTTACTAATAAGATCAATACTTTATTTATAAATTATTTAATTATTTTTTCCTCGGATATTGCAGCTGTACTTTTACTCGACCCATCAGAGAGCGATCTACCCGCGACATTTCGAAACGTTGTGGATGAACTTCTCGTCAAACAATTTGCTGAGGGTGCCGAACTGGATGACATATTCCAAGACTTATTACTTTTCACTAAACCGCAAGGCACAGTCCTGGCGGAAGGGAGGAAAGGATCGTCTGCTAGAATTCGAAGGGGTTCGGTGAGTGTCCGATCATTTCTTACTTCGCAACAGTGTTCGGATTTAGGGGGCCAAAACTACACCGGCCGACTAAAAGTGGTTAAAACCTGTTAAAAGTGGCCTATTGGTCCGCCATCTAAATATATAATAAATAGTTCCCATAGTGCACCACTACAGTGTTCGCCAAAAAGCAAAAAAAGCATGTGAAAAGCAATTATGCATTACAGCCCTCCAAGCAAAAAAGCATGGAGGGCTGAAATGCATAATTGCTTTCTACATTGCTTTTTTTGTTGTTTTGCTTATGCTTTTTTGCTGTTTTGCTGATTTAACAGTCGCCATCTAGCGCCATACTTCACAACTACCCATGATAGAAGTTTCAATATAGCAAAACAGCAGAAAAGCATGCTTTTCAAAAAAGCCCTGTTTTGCCAGGGCGAACACTGCATGGCGACACTTTTGGCCAATTTTGACCACTTACGGTTACAACCGTTTTAGTAAAGGCGGGAACACTGCTTCGCGTGCAGGTAGCTCTCTTGAAGAAAAACATTTTTCAATTTTTAACCTGTTTCACAGCTCAGAGTCTTGTCTGGTAAGGGGGAGGGGGAGGAAGAAATTGATAAATTACCCAGGAAAGACAGTATTCGCATGAAGAGACTTGTCCGCCAAAATACGGCTCTCATTCCCCCCAGTAGAGACAGGAGAGTCCTCAAGAGAAGGGGGACATTTTCCGGCCTTGCAAAATTCCTCCAGGACGACACTCCCGCAAAAGATGAAAAGAGTCGGCGCGTTTCCGCCCAAATTGATGATAAGGAGGGTACCCTTATCCTCTTGAGGGGAGGATGCACAACAGTGGGAATGGGGGCGATGGTTTTGGTGCGATTTTCCAACTCCGGTGGAGAAGAGGTAAATATGTGTTGAAAATAATTTGCAAGATTTTGGCACGTTTTTACTCCAATTATGAAATGTAATGTGTACAATTTATGAAAAAAATATATATTCAAAATATTTGCAAATATTTGCGCTAACGTTTGATAGTACGCAAATTTGAAACCCATCTTTTTACTTCAGAGTTCCAGAAATCCTTTCCGTTTTCTTATTATTTTCCTAAGTCCGGAAGGAATGAGAGAAGAATTTACCGAGATTGGAAGATCCGTTGGTACTTTGATAAGCGACAATGTAAGTGACACCCTAATAGTAGGCCAATTTGACAATTTTAAAATTACTACCGCCAAATTTCAGAAATTCAATAAAGGCATGCTCTCCGCCGAAAATAAGGAAGGAATCCTCACCGCCTTCTCCGACTTCTTTGACCGCTGTATCATCCTACCCCCGGGGATTGGGTATATCCACAACTTCTGCCAACTTCTTCCCCTCCACGTTCTCCAGGAAAAGGAAATCCTCATCCTCCAGATAAGGGACGATATCGACAACAAAGACCGCCTCTCCAGTATCGGCAGCATATTGCCGCCACAAAGCGATGAACTTGGGGCATTAAATTCACCCCAAACCTTTCCGACAACCTTTCACCGCCATCATAAATTATTCGGCGGGATGATTAACGATCTAAAAGAGAAGATATTATGGTACAAGTCTGACCTTGTGGATGGTTTCAACTCACAGACCGTGTCGACCACAATTTTCCTATATTTTACCACCATCGCACCCAACGTCACATTTGGTGGTTTACTGGAAGAAAAAACGGCGGGATTTATCGGCGTGTCGGAAACCCTGGTGGCAGCGTCGTCTTCCGGCATAATTTTTGCCCTGTTGGGCGGACAGCCGTTAAACGTTATTGCTCCGACCGGTCCCCTGCTCATTTTTGACGAACAATTGTTCCTCTTTATGGAAATGCATGCAATTGAATTCCTCCCGGCTCGGGTCTGGATAAGTTTGTGGGTGCTCATCATCACCATCGTGGTTGCCTCGTTGGAAGGAAGTGCCATCGTGAAATACATTTCCCGCTTCACGATGGAAATATTCTCCGCCCTTTCGTCACTTATTTTTGTCTATGAGGGTTTAGAAGTCTCGTATAGGATATTTCTGGCCAATCCATTAACCAAAAATGGCGGGATGGCGGGTTCCGACGAGTACGAGGGGGAAAGTGAACAGAAATCAAATTTCGTTGTGGGGCAACCCAACACGGCTATAATGTCGGCGTACCTAATGTTTGGAACGTTTATTATTGCATACAAACTAAAACGTCTCAAGTTAACTAATTTCTTTCCGAAAAAGGTGAACCGGAAATTTAAAAGTTAAAGATACAATGGCGGGTAATTTAAACAGATTGGAAATATTTTGCCTTGTAGATTCGCGACATACTTTCCGATTTTGGCGTCCCGGTAGCAATAATCTTTATGGTGATGATTGACTACCGTTGTGGCGTCAAGACGACGAAAACTCAAGTTCCTTCCGGTCTTAGTCCAACCATGCCGGGAAAAAGGGGTTGGGTCGTGTCACCGTTTGGGATTGAGAAACCGTTCAATTATTGGATGCCGTTGATCACTATATTACCCGGAGGCCTGATTTTCCTTATTATGTTTATGACGGTGGAAATTTGCGAGTAAGAACTTTTTAAAGAAACTAAAGAAGCAACCTTTTCACGCAATGGTTTCACTTTACTCCAGGAAAATCTTACTAACTCGGGGCGGTTTTAAGAAAGCATTCGGTCTTCACTGGGATCCCGTTGTGCTCGCGGTGACAAATTTGGCGTGCGGAATTTGTGGCCTTCCCTGGATGAGTATAGCTGTGTTGAGAACGTTCGCCCATGTTGAGGCGTTGACGGTATACTCGAAAAATAATCCGCCCGGAATGCCACCAACTATAGTAAAAATTCGGGGTAAGGAGACACAATTCGTACTTTTCGTGAAATTTCCATTATTCGTGGTTTCGTTTTGGACGTCCAAAACCCTTTTTGGACAGGACGGTGGCCAAATATGTCCAAAAGTGTCCATGTTCAAAAGTGTCTTATGGGGTCGAATGGGGTAATATAAGTTGTATCAGTTTGCCCCATTTTCCCTCAGGATTGGTGTCCAAAACCCTGTCATAATTATTTACATTCATTTTTGCAGAAAACCGTCTCTCCGGACTCTTCATGAGTGTAATGATGGGGGCCTCTGTCTTTCTGGCGCCAGTTTTGAAACTAATCCCTGTTCCGGTCTTGTTTGGAATTTTTCTCTTTATGGGAGTAACTTCTTTCAAACCGACGCAACTTTGTGATCGAATCGTGCTCTTTTTCACCTCGAAGGACGCTCACCCTCAAACTGTTTATGTTCGACGGGTAATTCAAAATTATATTTCGTTGTAACCTGGGGAAGTAGAAATTCACAGAACGACTACATAAAAATGAGTAAAACTGCAATGTGAAGAAGGCGGTGCCTTGGTAGCTCAATGGAAAAAGCGTCTGACATGTATTCAGAAGACGTGGGTTCGATTCCCCCATGGGTTACTAAATTTTTCACAATTGCAATTCCATATTAAAATAAATTCAAGCTCGAAATGAGCGAAAGGCGGACTTAAATAGATTATGCGTTTAAGCGTAAACTCAACTTCAACTTTTTACGAATTTCAGGTCCCCACATGGAAAATCCACTTGTACACTGTTATCCAAATAATTACACTTGTCTTCCTCTGGGTGGTTAAGTCGATTAAGGAAATTGCAATTTTCTTCCCCGTCGTCTTAATGCTACTTCCTCCAATCAGGCAGTCTTTAAAATTCCTATTTACCGAAGCGGAGCTGGACGCGGTAAACAAAAAAAAATTAAAACAAACACCCGCCACTAAATACATATGCATTTATCCGATAACTTTTGTTTTACAGCTTGACCATGAAACCCGCCCACTCCCTGCCCAACCCCCTACTACTTCCGACAAACATGCAATGTAAACTGACAATCAATCAGACATGATTTGTCGTAGAATCTAAAACTGTACTACGTAATACACGTACAGCCATTCGTAGTCTTGGTGATAACCTCGGATGCTCATAACACCTTGTGCTCTTAGACCCATGTATACATATATTTTAAGAAGAACGAGAAAACAATAACATCCCATAGAATTGTAGCAAAAGACAATGAAATTATAAATACCCTTCCATTAAGATCAGTCTTAGCGTAGTAAAATACTTATTAGAAACGTGACAACGATGTGTTTACCGGAAGTATGTGTATGAAAGACAATGAATGTAATTTAAAGCAATAAAGTGTACAAGACTACTTTGAAAAACAGATTTATTTAGCTGATGTTTTTGAAAAAGTTGTGCCAGTATGTTTCGCCAGCAAGAAAAGAAATTTATTATTTACAGGGACACTTTTCCCACGCATGGGAAGAAGCTTGCACAACAACTAATATATGAACAACTTTTAGTGAGTAGTTAATCATCACACATATATACAATAACTTATTTAAAGTCAACCATGGGGTAGTATGCAGTTGATTGTTTCTCGGAGAATCACATCAGTTAACGGTGACCTTAATGCATGACTAACGTCCCGATTTGTCGGAACAATGTCAAGGATACTTGGCAACGTGACTCCATCTCGCCAAAAAAGTAAAAGGAATATGTTGACGTTATTTATTCATGTCAGAAATGAAACGAACAAAATTATTTAAGATTTCTTTATTATTGCATAAAAGAATGGGAGTTAATAAAACAAATTAATTATTCGCCCCCGTATTAAAATTCGGTGGGTTGAAAATCATGCCAAATTGAATGTTTTATAACCTTCGGCTGCAATTTTTTTGAGCAGGTCCTCGTATTTGGAATATCCTCCCGCGTAGCAGAGTGGCTCCCTAGTTTTGCCAGGAATATTGGCCCCCTGATACCAAGAATCCGCTTCCGGGAACAAACTTGCCTCCCAAGCATCCCAAACCTCCTTTGTCCAACCCTGTTCAGATTCTTTCTTGGCATCGACAAATCTGCGTTTCTCATCCTTCATCCTGACCATCAGTTCTACTAACCATTCCCCTTGAATCTCAATAATCGTGGGCCCATTTCCCAGGGGAGTGGGGGCCTATTTACATACAATATTTTTTTATTGACACTTTACTAAAGATTTTTGCAGTGTTTCGGGTGGCATAAACTCAAGTGGTAATAACCGGTTATAACCTGCCATTTTAGCCGGCCAGAAGTCAGCCGGAAGTGGTCAAAAGTGTCCAAAAGTGTCCAAAAGTGTAGCCATCTGGTGGTGCACCAGCTGAATTACTTATTATATGTACAGATGGCGACACTTTTGACCACTTTTGGCCACTAGCCACTTTTGACGGGTTTTAACCACTTTTAGCCGGCCAGTGGCCAAAAGAACTTTTGGCCGGCTAAATCAGAACAATGGATTTGTGTAGTTGACTTGACTTGACTTGCCTGGGGGCCGTACATGTACCACAAATTTGGAAATCCGGCTGTTGTGAGGCCCAAGTAAGTGGATGTCCCATTCCTCTTCCACATATCTCTCAAACTCTCTCCTTTCCCGTTGCGGATGTCCATACTTTTGATACTTCCTGTCAAAGAGTCAAATCCCGTGGCTAGGACGATAATGTCGACTTCAACGAGACCCTCATTTTCTGTTCGAACCCCATGCTCCGTAATTTCCAAAATTGGAGATTCCCGCACGTTAACAAGGTCGACGTTAGACTGGTTGAAAACTTCGTAATAAGTTTGTTCCAGGCAGGGCCGTTTAATGCCGATGGCGTGCGGCGCGACGAGCGGGGTCAATATGTCCCGTTTCACCGAGTCATGTATCCTGGCTCGGGCCTTTTCCGCCCAGAAGGTGTAGGCATAGGCGTTGGACTCCTAGGAATAAGGAGTGAAGTAAAATCTGAAGGGCGGGATTTATGATAACTTATAAGTGTTCAGAATTTACCTTATCGAATAGCATATCTTGGAAATTGGCCAGCCAAAAGGCAAACCCGCCATGGGCATAGAGAGATTCGTACAAGGCGCGTCGCTCCTTTGGACTTACGTCAGCCGCATTTTTCCGTTCCCAATCAAAATTGAGGCCAGAGAATGATTTCCGAGCTGTACCGAATATTTCGGGAAACTTTGACTTTGGCGGGAACCAGGCAGCTTTGCTGGGATCGGCAGCCTTGGCTTGTTGCATGGGGAGGCATAGATTGGGTGTGCGCTGATAAACCGTTAGGTGGCCTACGCGAGACCCAATTTCTTGAATGATTTGCACCGCGCTGGCCCCCGTGCCGATAACGGCGACGCGTTTCCCGTCAAAGTTGACGCCATCTTTCGGCCACACGTAGGAATGGTGACAGATTCCTTTAAATCTATCCAAACCTTTAAAGGGAGGCGTGTACCTGGGGTAAAGTAAAATCGAGCGGGAAAATTAGGAAATGTGTGCAGCTACGTTTCTAGAATTTCCGTAGCTCTTGAGAATGGTAACAATTTTCAAAGTGCATATGGAAAATGTGAAGACTATGCCCCAATACAATTTAGAAATTTCTTCTGCAAATTTTGACCACTCTCAAGAGATACGGAGCGTTACGGAAATCCTAAAAACGTATCTGCACAAACTTCCGATTAAGTTTTTCTTGAACCAACACTGCTAAAATTCGAGAAAGAAGCTCCTGGAAATCCATATCCATAAAAACATGTCAAGCATGAAAGCCAGTGTTCCGGGTGGAGTAAACTCAAGTGGTTTAACTCAAGTGGTATAACTCAAGTTTAACTCAAGTGGTATAAGTGGTTTACTATAATAACCGGTTATAACCAGCCATTTTAGCCGGCCAAAAGTCAGCCGGAAGTGGTCAAAAGTGGCCAAAAGTGTCGCCATGTCGTGGTGCACCAGATGAACCATTATACATACGTATGTTCAGATGGCGGACCTACATACAGGTGGCTAACTTTTGACCACTTTTGGCCACTAGCCACTTTTGACCGGTATTAACCACTTTTAGCCGGACAGTGGCCAAAAGTACTCTAGGCCGGCTAAATCGGAACACTGATGAAAGCGGTTACCTAGTTGTGGTGGATCCAGTACAAAGGAAGAGATGGTTAGCCCAAGTAACCCTACCATCATCCGTTTTGACTTGCCACTGATTCCGAGCGGTATCGAACTGAGCCGCGCTCACACTGGTGTTGTACTGAATGTCCTTGCTGAGTTGGAGCTTGTCGTCCAAATAGCGGAAGTATTCTTGAAGTTCGGGATGGGCCGGGAAGCGCTCAGTCCACGCGAAATCCCAAAGTCCTTCCTCGTTGAATTGGTAGATGGGGTTGTCAGTGTCGACCCGTGCGCCTGGATAGCGGTTCCAGTACCACGTCCCGCCCATGTATGTTCCCGCTTCGTAAACTTTCACGGCAAACCCTTTCTTGCGGAGGTTGTGGAGAGCATAGATGCCAGAGAATCCGGCACCAATTACTAGTATCTCGTAAGTGTCTTCGGAGGAGCCCATACTTCAAGCTAAGATTAGACAAAAAATGTTAAATACAAATTAATTTACCAAAAATGTTCCATAATCCTCAACCTTAATGCAAAAAACAGAGCAAAGTGCCGTCTCTGCTTAATTTTAAAAAGAGCAAAGTGCAATAAAATAACGTGTTGTGGGGGTGGAGTTGAATCTATAGTGTAGCGGAAATCTCTATGATCTCGTTTGCACTGGCAACGCCCACTTTAAGGGGCGAAAATTTCGAGTTTTTGTAATCACATAATAATTCGTCAAAAATTCCAAGTTTGGTTCAGTGTTCATAATTTTGTTTTGCTGGCTTTTAAAAATAAATTATCTAATAACAAAATCAACTTTTATGAAATTAAAAATAAATCCTACTACGAAAAATTTCAAAACAATCAAATTTAAAAAAATGTTCGTTTTATTAGATAATTGATCTAGGAGCCAGGAAATGTAAAAATTATGAATATACGACCAAAATTGGAATTTTGGCGAATTATTATGTGCGCCAAAAACTCGAAATTTTCGCCCCTTAAAGTGGGCGTGCCAGGACAAATGAGATCCTAGAGATGAGTTTTCTAGTCCACCCCCACAACATGCTAAATATTTTATTATATTACACTTTGCTCTTTTTCTTCTTTTTTTGATGCCTTACTCTCTTTAAAATTAAGCGGATACAGTACTTCGCTCTTTTTAAAATTAGACTGCACTTTGCTCGTTTTATGATTAAGCCGACGATATATTGTACATAAACTCATTGACAGGGAGGTGTTTGAATCAAAAATCTGACCGCCAATTCAAGTATGTCAAGGGGTTGATGAGAAATTTTCATCAGTGCCGTAAACAAATAATGCTGTATAAGTCACATTTTTTAAATATTATTATTGCCAATTATTATTTTACACAACTTACTAATTCGGTTATTCGGTTAAATTATATTTTATTTCCACCAATATAATTAAAAGAAGTTGGAGCAAAATTTTTACGGCCCTTCAGAATTGGGGCATAGAGTGGATGGTGGTGGACAGAGGAGCGCGAGAAAAAACCTCCTTCTCAATCGGTTTACACGCAATAGCAGATAAGAGACAAATTTTCCGAAGGTATGCAACTGTGTCGAAGCAGAATCGAACTGATGCTCACGAGGGCCAATCCCATGTACATATGTATTCTGTGTCTGTATTATTGTATCATGGTTTGAAAACCAGTTTCCTCGTTGTCAACTGATATCTGTTAAGACTTGAATAAAGGATTACAAACAAACAAACATATTTGCATTGTGGGTAAGAAATTGTACAATATGCAATCATAATTTATGCGGCACGTGTGGCAATAAAATTGGTAAAAAAGACGGCATAACCAAGACTGACTGGTGTTTGGTGATATTGCAATGCTGGATTCCAATCTTCATCTTTGCCACCTTGATCAATGTCAAACGCTTATGAAATTCATTTCACTGTATGGTTTAATTAAACAAGCCAGCCTGAGCAGGTGAACATTTGTAGCTTATAAATATTCACCTTCAGTACAAAGGGATGAGTGAGAACGTGTTAACGAGTTGACCACAGGACCAGGACACATTCAGAACTTGTATTTGTATCCGATGAGTATGTAATGAAGAGGCATTAATTATGTATACCAATTGTAACGCTGCTTTTTTACTGGGAAGAAGTCAGCTTTGATGAAATAACGATAAGCGAAAAAATAATTACCAAACACTTGCAGCTAATTGGAAATACTTGTAGTACATAGTTATCTGATTTATTTCTATTCAACTCGACTTTATCAATAGTCGCTTCATTATTTGAACATATTAACAATACTAGTAATAAGGCCACTGCTCAGTCCCAACTTACCCAGGACTGTGACAATGGAACCCGTCGGGAAGAAAAAGGTTGACACTGCCATCAATATTTGAATTACTGCAATCACTACCGAGCCCAGCCACGCGGCCGGATCCACCACCCTCCAAGCTGATTGGAGTGCATGCCTCTCGATAAGGTTGGTCAACTCCTTAAGCGATTGTTTCCTTCGTTCACGAATCATGGGCTTTACAGGGGCCGGATATTTGTCGGGATTGGCGGCACAACCGACAACAGAGTCCCCGAAAATCATTCCATGGTTGCGATATTCTTGGGCATTCTCCTCCCACCACTTTCTCGGGTTGGGTTCCCATTCCGAGTTGGTTAGAAATAAGAGGACTGGAACCCTGTTCATGCAAATCGTTTTGACAAAGAGGTTAAAGTTGTCTTCCACAGTTTTCGTGATGCGGCCAAATTTTGCGACAAAGATGAGCAAGTTAACCCCTCCGGTGAGAGACAATTGTTTCAAGAGTTTCTCCAGTTGTTCAATCGCTTTGTCTGCTCCGACAGTACCGGCGCTTCCTTCAGAGAGTCCGGCTGTGTCGAAGACGTTGTAGTTTGGTGGTATGGGATACATGGTGTGCTCAAAGGTACAACCGACGGCGGAATCGGATACTGCGGCAACTTCAGAACCTTTCAGAAGGTTGAGCACCGAGCTTTTTCCAGCCCCTGGAATTAATTGGGGAGGATAGAAATATTAATGCGAAAACTACAGTCACATACAGAACTCACCAGTTTCTCCAAACAGTACAATGTTTTTAGACATTTCGTTCGTTACGGTACCAATGTTCTGATGTAGGTTGGTAAAATAAAATAAATATCGTAATTGAATACGGTTATATACAAAATCTGACCTAAATATGGGAGTAAATGGGACAGATAAGGATTGTCAGATAAGGCAAGGATAACACGCAAGAGACAAATACACGAATATCAAATGATTATAATGAATAATTTATCATTAGTTTGTCCGACATTGACAAACTGACCTAGATCTATTGTGCATATATGTATATGTGTTGAGGGTAGGTATGGTTGATATGTGTAATAAAGCATTTGAGGATCGGCTACCAAGCCAATCAGATGGACAATGATCCATTAATAAAGAATCAACCATATGTTAACCGAAGATAAGTTCATGGATAATGCGTTATTAAAATTTAGAAAAATTGACGTGTAATGGGTGGTTAATAGTTTTTTTAATTGTTGATGAAATAATCTTGAATTAAAAATGAATCTTTATTTTGGTTTGTCTAGGTGCCTTTATTGATAAATTAAAAATTCCAAGAAGTAGAAATTTTGTGTATCATGAATTATCATGATACACAAAATTTTCAAATTTATAAATTTACGATTCATAACTTTCAATATTAACAAAATTTTCTTTTTGGAGTGATGAGAATTTTTTCATTATGGACATTCACCAATTCTATGAGGTTAATTGCATTTCATATACATTAAGCTGAAATATAGTTAAAACTACTTTACTTTGGAAGAAAAATTTGAGATTGTGAGCCTGGGTGGTGTGCTAAAAATATGTCTCTGTCAATGGATGCCCATCTACTGCCGAGCAGATGGTGATTCCAACTACATACTCGCATTGTGACCGCTTTACGATGGGAGAAACTGTGTACAAATATCTGGCACAGGTCCCCCCCATCGGTGTCGTCATGATATATTTTTACAAATAGCTTTATTTTTTTCTGGGGGTGGGGGGGGGGTATTGTTAAAAAATGCCATGAGAATATGTATCTAGATACCTGTGTGCCATAAAGGTTAGTTAAAATAGAAATCATACATAGAGATGATCTTGCATTTGGGTACTTGAAAATTTGAAATTTGAAAGTTTTAGAGGTTTTTGGTTTGGTTAGTTAAAATGCCATGACTTTTTATATGTTTATATGTATTTAAATATTAACAGATTTAATTCTGCTTAATTTTCTAACACTAAATTTTATAAAAGTCGTTTTGTCGCATACATATGTAATACTCGCTTTGCCTTTACATACTATTAATTGCAGTAAAAAGTATGTAAAGGGTAGTAATTTAATTCGATCCGATTTTTTCTGTACAAAAGTGAAAGTCGATTTCTCTTGGATGCATATTTTTCTGAAGCTAATTTTTTTTTCTTGAACATACCTTAATACTTAGACTTCCCAGTATTGGCTTCAATTATGCCCCCAAATCTTTAGGCTCTGTGCTAATTTGTCCTTATTATTTTTCAGCAAATTCTAAATTTGAAATAATAATAAATGTCAACTGAAATCATCGCCTTAGATTGAGGTCTACCGCTTGTATTGTATCATTTCACCTTTAATTTTAATTTCTTCCACTTTCGTCCGATTCTTCCGTTTCATCCACAATGGCCCGGAAGAAACACCGAAAAGGTGGAAGAAGCGAAACCTTGACAATGTGTAATTTTCCTGTTATTGTTTGTAAGGCGTTTCGAGTCATTTAGCTCTTTTCGACAATTTTGAGATCAATTTCCAAATATCTGATAAATTCTGGCTAAATTATTGTTTTCGTAGAGAAGACATTTATGAGTCGACGAGATCGTTGTTTATCCCTGGCAAAATTTTGGTTTATTTGTACCGCTGCGGTATTTTAGGATGTCTTCAAGTTTTCTGCAATTTAATTCTCAGACAAGTTCAGTCTAACCGGAGCTTGTATCTGAAAACGAATATATGTAGTCATGATTGACCTACTCCAATGGTCTAGTCTTGGTAAAAATATTCACTACGTCAAAAGATAGCCACATATTTGTAGCGTGCTGGCAGCAAAAAATGAATAGGATTGAATTAAATCACCACCATTTATAACGTTTAGGGTTTTCACGACCTTCGTAACAGTGGATTGATAAAAAAAATATTCGTAAATTTACGTCATTTACAATGGGGTTTACGTGAAAGCACCTTCGTAAATAATTTCGTAAAAACTGATTTCGTAAAATGTATCATGGCACTTGAAGTTTTTAATGGAGTATGTTTCCTAAGATACGAAAATCTAGCAATTTTGACTTGTGAAATTTTTTTACGAACGAAAAATATGCCTCAAACGTGCGTAAATTTACACAGCTTCGTAAACATGGAATTTTCGTAAATGACGTAAATTTACGACATTTACGACGCTTACGACAGTTACGAAGGTTACGTAAAAACCCATATTGTAAATTTGATTCCAATAGAGAATATGTAAGTATTCAAGTTCAAGGATAACTCAAACTTAAAGCAATTTTGAATTGTAATAAATTCAATTTAATATTCCTCCTAGAATTTGTACCATGTTGTTTAACCATAAAAATTTAATAATATTCCTCTTTATTATAAATATAAATGCATATCTCTATTATAAATGCGTTGCACATGTCTATTTATGTATCTCAATAGCTAGAAAGTCTCGCACTCTTTCACCACACGTGAACTTTATTACGAAATAGATATTTCGTATTGAAAATGCTTATTGCATAAATTTAACAACGTGATTTTTATTGGAACTCGAACCATTTCTAGAAAAAAATACGTCATCAATTTACTTGCTTGGCAAACTTAACTAGTCTTCTTTGAATTAATTCGACTTTTCCAGGTGGAGCCTTCACCCCGTTTCGCCCATTCTTTCCAAAGGCTTTTAACTTTCTTCTTGTTGGCACCCTGCCGATTATCGGTGACCTTCTCCAAACGGAGTTGCGCCATGGTTTTTTCCTTGTCGGCGATTTCCCTCTTCATTTTTTCTTGTAATTTTGACAATTTCTTCCTCCCAGAAGAACAATTTGATTTTGCGGCGTATTCAACCGCAGCCGATTTTTTCTCACCCGCAGCAACTCCAGAGACTTTGAGTGACTCTTTTTTTAAAACGAGTAACGCCTCCAGTTGGGCTTGTTCAAGTTTGGCTAATTTCTTTAAATGCTCTCTCTTTTTCTTGACCGCTTTTTTTTCTTCGTCTCGCTGTTCTTGTTTGGATAGTCGGGGAAGAATAGGTGTGGGACTGGTGTGGTCGTCCTGTTTTTTTGCCACTATTGGAATTACGTTGCAGGGAACAGATTCGAATTCTGCATCAGAAGTGAGTGAGCTAATAAATAAATATGTCATAATTTGAGGTCGAAATTATCCTGATTTTAGTGAGTTAAAGTTACCTTCCGATTCCTATAAATTTATTTGAGGAATGTTCCATTTGAACTGTAGGGTTGTCATGACGACTGGTTTCATCTCGCTGATCAAAACTGAGTGTGGAGCTGCATGTCAAATCGTGATCCACGATACTAACCTTAGTAGCATTTAGTTTGAACGGCATTCCAGAAACGGGGAAAGCTTCGGCGACAACTTTATCCCCAATTTTTGGAATGATGGGACCGCTCACGGTTCTAAATAAATAAAATAAATAATTTAATATTCCGAATTTGATCAGTTATTCTCTTACATACTTTAGTGAGAAGAGGATGTGATTTTCCCCAATTATTCCAAATATGTCGTAAATTTGAGTCACAGTTCCGAAAACTGTTTGCGAAGTTATGGTAAAGTCGGCTTGTCCATTATTTTGTAGCTGTGATGTGGACGGTGGAAAGAGGACCTTGGATAAGAGGCAGTAAAATTTTTTTAATTATTAATTAAAAATTAACAGTTTACAAAACGCACCCCTCGCGACGGTGGGGGTTTTACGGGCATCACAGCATTTCTGTAACTCCTGGCCAAATCTGGCTCGTTGGACGAGTAAAAATAATGTTTGGGATGATTATTAAATTCGGAAGTTGGCAAATGTCCTGTCAGAAAAATATTTCATTATTTAATTACAAATAAATACTTAAAGTATGATTGAATTTGCTTACCCCTCTCCCGACTAAAATTGAAATCCATCCTAATTAATTAACTACTAATGAGAACAGGAAATAACACAAGATGCATTAATTGTTTGAATTTTATTCGGATTTTCGATAAATATTAACGTCCACGTATACAATAGATCGGCTGTTGCTTGGTGAAAGGTGGGCCAATACCAAATACAGGGCAGCTCGACAAAAATCGGTGACCCGCACTGGTCTATGTTGTGAGAGTTGGCTCATGAAAATTATCTATCATGAAGCATTTCCATGGAAATCAGATTTCATGGAATGCTTCATGAAAATTTGGACGTCTTTAATCCCAATTTTTTAATTGTAATGATTACTGCATTGCATTATTATTACATGGCTTATATGCACTAATAAATATGTATATCAAACTTTTTAAAAAACTTAAAATAACCTGATAAATACTACATAATTACTACATAGATGTCTCCAATTTGGAATTAAATATTTTTATTTAACAAATTATGTATGCGAGGATACTATGAGTCATGAATTAAGTCAAATTAAATTTTAAAAATTGAATCCAATTTGACATCCGTTTAACACGAGAAGTAATAATATGTAGCACAAAAATGTTTAATTCCTAGTGAAATTTAGACAATTTTTGCAGAAACTCATCAAAATTAAGAATATGATTTTTATTTATTTAAAAAAGTCACTTGGGAAAAATGCAAATGAATAACTACTTATTATGCATTTCTCTGCATTCTATTCGATTTTTTTGCGATGATGATGCCAAGTCATGTTGGGTGAAAGTGATGCAAGATTGTTGTCAGATGTGTACAAGTCTAATGATAAATTTGTAAAATTAAAAATTTTTCATAAAATTTATTTGGAGGCCAACGTTTGTCTAATTGATTATCTCCAACGTCCGAACTATTCCTGGCATGATTGTTGGAGTAGTGTACCAAAATTGGAAATGACTATTTGGAGCTGTGCACAAGAGAAGTGGTAAGATAAGATAGATGGACAACAATAAAAAAATTGACATCTAGGTAAGAAATGAATTTGTAAACCGATCACCTCCAAGAAGAAGTACGAAAAGGCTGCTGCGGCTGCGAAGGAGGAATATGAGGAGGTAAGGTTTTAATTAATTAGGTATTGTCATTTTGTTAGAGGGAAATTTATTATTTGTGGTGAAATTTTACCGAAATTCTCTACTTTGTTGTTAATCTTAGAAAATGGACAAGTACAAAGGGGAAGCTGGGAAGGGGAAGAAGAAGAAGAACTGAGTAATTGATGGACGAATTGGTTGCCTCACTCAATTCGACTTAGCATTCTCTTCAAGTACTAAATAATATAAGTTTATTTTTCCTGTACGTGTTTTCTAAATTTTGTTGTTATTTGGTATTTTATTTGGTAATCAATTCCTGAACAAAATCTACAGCGTGAATGGATAAAACTGCATTTTTTATCACATCTTAAATTTATTTCATATTTTGAAGGCGATTTTTGAGGAGAGGGAAAAATCCGAAAATTATCGCAAAATTATTCGTCCCATCGAGTAAGAAATGGCTGCTGGAGAAACGATCAAGTGAATTTTTGTATGGAAAATATGTTGTTATGATATAATTATAATGAGTAGATTTAGTATTAAAAATATTTAGTGATACAACCAATAGTTTTAATGTTAAGATCTTGTCTCTTTTTATGTCTCTCCAACGAGTCCAGTCTTATTATTGTGGGTTTTTGGCATCAATAAATCAGATTAAAAAACAAACGAATATGCTGTGGCGTCAAATATTGCCAAATTCACAATTACTCCAGTTCGATACCCCCACACAAAGTATTATTTACAGAAGTTTTTTTAAAATACAGTGTTGTAAAATATTATTTTTGAGCAGGACTTGAAATCTGTAATAAGGGACGCAAAAGGAGGGAGAGGGGAAACCCAATTTAAATTTTGTTGGCATCATCTCCCCGGTGTCCGGACACTTAATCCCTTACAGTTTATCCCCCCACATTTAATACCCCACTCTTAATCCCGCACCTTTCATCCCTTCCACAGTTAATCCCCACACAGATCATCCCCCCACATTTCATCGTTCCACAGTTAAGCCCCTGCAAAAAACGGAAATATTGACTTCTGAAACGGACTTCGAACTCCTTCGAACTTCGAATCTCCCCCACATTATTTAGCCTTGTCAAGTTAGCGATACTAAATTTGCTCTAGGTTGGGGGAACTTTGTGTAATTAATAATAGTTTGTAAAAATGTGTGTAATTTCAAATAATTTTTTAATAACACAATTTTTTTCCAACAAATTTTTTTTCCCAGATTCACCACTTGAATTTGGTCCATCTCGTAACCATCCAACCAACCAAGTCTAACCAACTCGTAATTTAGACACTAAAAAATTTGAAATCTCAAAAAAGTTGAGATTGATGTCACGCATTATAAAGCAACTATCTGGGATATGAAATTGGAAAGGCAAAAATTTAAAAAATTCGGGCAAAATTTGACGTTGGCGAGAGTTTGGATATGTGAAAACGTGGGGTTTTCACCTTTTTCACCACTATGAGAGGGTGTGGCGGGTCTGTATAGGCCCAAGCAAGGCGATATTAGTAGTACCCCGAATGTAAATTGAAATTGTTTATCACAAAACGTTATCGATAATAGGCTATCAAATTTTTGCATTATTTTTCCCAACTTTTGCGATTATTGTAAACTCTGCGAACACATTACTTAACTCGACAAGTAAATAAATTAACTGTTTATTAAACGAGTTTTGAATGCTGGGATAATTTATTCAAATAATTAATACATCCTTTTGATATAAGATCGAATTCGACAATGAAAATTTATCTGATTGTAATATCGGCACAATTTCGGAAGGTTTGTACCGACTCGTCCGGGTTGAAACAATGGTCGGCCGCTGAAAATTTCAAATAATTAATTAAACAGTGTTCTACATATGTTTGATTTTTTAACTAACCTGGTGGGTATGAAGTCCTATAAGTCCACCGCAGGGTGCACTTATTGCACGTAAATCCAACCGGGAGTTGGACGCGGGCAGTGACAGCTTTATCCTCGTGATCGCCTCCGGCCGAGCTGGTACAAATTCTGTTGTCAATTCGAATTAAATGGCCTTCAGTTCCACCAACAATGGGAAGTTTGGAGAAGCAGTAGTCACTTTCGACTTCCGACATGCAGAGCTCCACCTCAAAGTAACCTCTGTGGTTGGCAGTCATTTCTCCGACGACGTCGATGATCTAGGGAATCGAAATATATAATTTTATTCTTCTATTGTTAAACTAGGTTATTCAAGCTCCCGGCCAGGGGGCACGGAGAGGGGGTGTGTGAAGTTAAATTTCGTGCCAAAGGGTCACGTAGCGACATTCAAGGGGTGTGCAGAGGTCACAGGTTACGTTGGGGAGTCCTAGGGGTGCGGCTAGTTTAGGGGTCATATGGAAGGTCCATAAAAGTGTTAAACCCAACAGAATGATAGCAGGGGCAACGTGAAAAAGTCATCGAGTAGAGCGCGCAGCTCAAAATGGGAGACAAACTGCAGAAAGGAATTAGTTATATGACTAGGCTTTTCAAGTGCATGACTAGCAGGCATGAAGAGTGAATGTGTCAGATGACATTTAATAGCTGTGTCCAGGTCAGGGGTCACATGCCGGCATTCAGTTTCCAACCCCATGATAATAACACGGTACAACAATAGTCAAACGCTCAATTCAGGTAATTAATTCAGGTGAAATATCATATGGGTGTGGCAGAGGTCACGTGGGAATAATAATGGAATCAACCAACAAACTGCAACTGGAAATAGTATGTAATATGATACTTACCGATCCGGCCGTATAGTTTCCAGTAATTTCATTCTTGTCATAGGCACCCCCAGAATTCATGTCGGTGCTGGTCCCGCACCGTAGACAAGTACCCGATTGGCCATAGGTGGGCGGAGTGCGGCACTCGATGCCTGAATGATTCCACTCGTAAGGGGGGCGGTACGGTTCGTCTGGCCGGATATGGATGGAAGTACGGGCTAAGGGATCTGCCAAATAGCCGTGACCATGGACAGAGACCACTGCGAGGAAAAGGAGAGCAAGGGCGAGCTTCATGTTTGTTGCGTTGATTTAGAAAGAGGTGAAGAAGACATGAATTTAATAAATTGAGGGGGTTCACTATTTATTGGTGATTTGAAGAGGTTCAAGTTGTTTACAATTGATTGGTAACATGTCGTGATAAAAATTAATTAATTTTGCACACCATAAATGCTAACGTGACATGATATGAATGGAATTTCCAATTAGTTGCGATGCGGGTGGGACCAATTTATTGTGCACACGTAACTTCGTTCGGGTGACAAATTAATTAATAAAGGCAACAACATTCATAATGCGTCTCTGTGTCGATTACACAAATACAAAGCTCCAGATTGATAGTTGTTGACAAGTTGTGAAATGTATTGGACTGATGGATCATTCCCCACGTGCATGTTCACATCAATCACGTTAAGTAATTAATTGTTTAATGGGTAAGTAAAGTGGGAAGGCAGGATATGTGTGGGTTTTACGTGTTGCATATATTCGTTAAATTCATATTATTCATGGCATATATTTTTAGAATAGATTCGAATCTCGATTACGATTTTAAGCAATACATACATATCTAAATATTATCGTATTACGCGATTCGTACATACAGGGTTTCGCTGGCCCAAAACCACCCAGGACAGGTGTCCGAAAGTAAGAAAAATGGGGCAAACTGATACAACTCATATTACCCAATTGGGCACTCGCCTTTCCAAAAAACGTTTTGGACGTCCAAAACGAAACAAGATGAATAAGGTATGTTATTTAGATTTGAAATTATCCGTGTACCAGAGATGTGTATTATGTATAAGTAATACATATTAGAACTTATTATTATTATTTAATCTTCACAATCAAATTTGATCTAGATCATGACTTTTCTAGCCATGCCTGGTACAGGAATTTATTACAGTATCTCGTCCTTCAGGTCCTTGAGGTCGTGTTTACTTTGTCGGTGGGATCGAAGCAAATTAAAGTATTTTATATTACGGCAAATTTAAACCAAATTTCTAAACCTACCGAAAAACGTAAATATTTTCACAGATAAATTTCCGGTTTTTCTAGAAACTGTACCAGAACCTGTTCTAATTCTTGTGATTGCTCTTTTCCATTTGGTCGCCGTATTTTATGCCACGTTATACAGAGCTGTTGCTAAAGTAAGTGTGAAAAATTAAATATTTTCATAACTATTTTTAAAATATTTATTTATTTCATATTATTTCTAGAGGAACTCAAAAACCTTGTATCGCTGCTGGATAATTTTACTCTCTGTCATCTCCTTTTTTACCTTGGGTCGCGTGCATGGAGCTACCTGTAGGTTGTAACGACAAGCTCATATCGGTAGTCAGTGGACCCATATCACCATCGCAAAAACACGTCCAAGCAATCCTATTTCCGGCCGTTCTCAAATTGGCCTACTGACTTCAACAGATATTCCAATAATACCACAAAAATCTGTAGCAAGGAAGATAATAGTGTCGAGAAGCGCTGTGCAAACAGCAATTCAAATTTTATATTAATACTAATTAAAATTTTAATTTTAATTGCAAAAAAATTGCAAAAAAATGTGATGAAATGTGAGGAACCTTTACAAGTGGGAGAATCCAATTAGTAATTATTTCACCAACCCATTGCCATATTACAAAAGTTCTTCGAGTTGAGAGATTATGCGAATAATTCAATTTGGAAAAAAAATATCACTGTTTTTATTTCAGAGGTCAGTGTGGCCAGCATTTTTTGAAAATAGAGATTTGAAATTTTTGCAGGCAAATTTTTGAGGGTCACATGCTGCTATGATCAAAATCTGAAGTCAAAACTCGAAATAGTTTCTGAGTTATTTAAAAACAAAATCGTCGTTCAGCGAAGAAATCCATCCTCTGTAGTCAATAATTTCAAAGTTATAACTTCATATTTTCTGCCCACAGGTCATTTATAGCTTCTTGCATAATTTCATCTGAATGTGTCAACTTTTAGAAACCAGTATGAGCAACACAACCACACAAAATTTATAGAAAAGGCCTAATGAAATTGTATGTTGTGAGAGTGTCCATGTTCCAATTTGATGAGTGGATTTCCAGCTGGCATGAAATATCACCTAGTTAAAATATCTCAACTGCGAGTTTGACCACACTGCAAACCTATGTAAATAGTAGGCTTATTTATTACTCTAGGTTCTCAATATTTTCCGCTTGGTACGAGTTCTTATCAAAGATTTCAATTAGACAGAAGGGTAAAAGGTCGTAAATGGGACTCTCTTTTCTAAATTATTTTTCTACCCTAAGGAGATCCTTTGTCACCCTGGTGCCCCTCTGGCAGATGTTCGTCAAAGATGTGCTACAAGTTAGCCGTAGCCGCCGCAAACATTTCAGCCAAAATTTTTCTCATCTCATACAAAGAATATACACGTAACAATTTTGTAGGAAAACAGGTGTGTAGGTAGTTAAGTAGGTAGGTACATCTGTATTTACTAAATACATATGTGTATCTAAATACTATTTAGATACACATTTGTTGCACTGAATGGCATAATTCGTAATTAACCACCCCATGACAATGATTTTAGATACAAAATAACTCTTATCAACTTATAGTATGCAAATCTAGCTGTGAATAGGCAACGGGAGCACACCAAACGCCAGATTTCACAAAACCAGACGATAAGTGCTAATAGGCAGGTACAACCGCATAGAATGAAAATCGTCCCAAACGACCCACTCAGGGAAACACTATCATGACCAAGTCCTCGTTTAAATCCCAACACGGGTGTCCTACCACGCCATCCCTTAACTATCCATTCATGTTGTAAGCGCTTCAAAATCCCAGATTCGAACAGGGAAAGGTAACTCCTTTGAACAGTTGAAGCCCCCGCACCCGTAAATATAATTCCTTCCATACCCAAGTACAAAATTTGTTTGGATTTGTAAAAACGTTTTGATATGTAGTGCTTCGGTAAGAATTCGAATTCCAGCCAGACGTATGAAGGCAAATTGGCCAACCTCCACACGTTGACCTGGACAAGAAAGTCCAAAAATGTTGGGACCATTTGAATTCCTAAAGTGATTTTTTCCGGCAGAGAGAGAATAGTAAAACAATCCTTCGAGATTTGCAGACCAGCTATTAATTTGTCCATAATCGAGGCATCGTTAACAATTTTGACAATATATAACTTGATTTTTCGCTCACAGTATGGTGAACCTTGCAACTTCGTACCATGTAATAATGCAATGGTCTGTGAAAGAATTCTGCATTCGTGTGTGATACTCCGGTTAAAATACACATCCGTGTCGTGCCTTGTCTGTTCGCATATTAGATCGTCAAATGTTTGCAGAGGCAAAATTGGCAATGGAGCGTTCAACTCGGTAGTTAGCATCCCGTTGTAGCAGTTTGTCAAAATTACGGACATGATCAACCAGGTGCCTAGGATATAACGAACGAAAGGCAAGCCCGCAATTTCCCTAGGGATTGAGGGACACTCCTCGAAAATTGTAGCCAGCAAAAACAACAAAGGCGTGAATGAAATTTGAGAATTTCCGCACCAATGCAGGAAAGCGCAGAGCATTGAAATAATCGAAAGCAACGTGACTAGCATCCCCAACCATACGAACGGCTTAAATGGAGCAATGTAAAACAGGAAAGGTACTGTTCCTTGTGGCACGTTAAGTACCGATATGTGCTAAACAAAGTAACTACTATGTTCGCATCCACGTCGTACTAAGAAGAATCGTGTGGCTCGAAAAAAAATATTTGCCCCATGAAAGAGGGACATTGGTGGCTCATTGATGTCGTTTGGTTGACCAGTTTTGAGAACACTATACTTACCAGGACCTCCTCAATGGGATCATTCATCTTCAAGTCGAAAGGATTAACTGATTTAGATAAGAAATTCAGTTGCCGAACTGGATCATTACGATAATTGCGATCGACATTTTTTGAAACTTCTCTACTACACCAATGGGTTAGTGGATCAATTATTCGTCTTGCCAGATATGTTATGTGTGTCGCGTATTCCTTCGTGAGTGGAAAACATTCCAGATTAAGAACTTTTTGGGCGACGATCGGGAGCACAAATGTACAGACTTTCATCCCCGTGTCAACGACGATTAGCTGCAATCGAAAAATTGAGGGGTATATGTAACCCCAATAATCGTTCACAGTCAATTGTTTTATCGAGTTATTACTAACAAGAATAACAACGGAATCCAAGGAGCGCTGTACTACTTTGTCCCATATATGAGACTTGAAGAAAAATTGCTTCATCGATATACCCATGCAATGATGAAATAACATTTGCATTGCAGTAGAGTCATTTAAACTAGGGTTGACCACGAAAGTTAATTGACATATAGGAACGCGTACCTGACTGGAATCAATTAGTGGGAAGTTTTTCCTTTGAGATGGATTATCGCCGAGGTAATAATATTCATCTAGGTCCAGCGGCCAGTACAGAATACGCACGGGAATTAGTGGCTTTGGCCATAAGTACGAGTGGCGGTCTTCATGCAGAATTTTTAAATCGAAATATACTAATCCATCAATAAGTTGAGCAATACTGACCTGGTCGTCAGCATCGGCAACGAATTCGCCTAATTTTGCTACTAATAAAACAAAGGACAAAATGGTGGGAAACATCATTCTTTGTGACATTTCAGAGGTGCCAGGATTTTGGTCTAGTGTGTTTGCATGAGTGACTACGTTATTGCCGCTAATGTTAATGCATTACTGGTGATCCAAGGTGATGGATATTTTGGCTTAAGAATATTTCAGTTAATTTACAAAATACGTAAGATTTATCAGTTTAGAATCTTGATAACCAATTATAACAACTACATTAAGCTCGAAATTTCAGTATATATGTAACATAAGCAATTATTTTGATTAAAACCTATCGCCTAATGTTAACTCGGGATTTATCACTACTTTTACCGTCACTTTTCCATTTTACTTTTGATTTTGTAAATATTAACTCCAACGGCAATGCTAAAGTAAAACTTTGGGTTTACCATAGATTTTACTTTCCCATTTGGGGAATTTTGACTCGACTTTCACTTTCACTTTACCGTTACTTTCATGTTACTTTTGAAAGTACATCGCGATTCTAATTTTAGGGCAAAGTGAAAGTAATTTGTGGAGGTAATCACCATAAATACGTGGAATGATCACTAATGGCTTTAAAACTTTGTTGATATACCAGTCTGCGCTGACTTCACTTTGAATTTTTTGTGGAACAAAAATAAAACTTTTGTTTCTTTTACTACGTCAGCACGATTCGAAATAACAATGTTATCAATTTTATAACTCTCCCATTTTTAACTATTTCTCTCATTTTCAGCAATGTTTGCATTTTGCAAATTGGAATAAAAGCTTGAAGTAAACTTGTATATTCGTCCAAAAGTTATGTTTGGGTTGACAGCAGACAGGCGAAATATTTTCTATTATTTGGCTGTAATTTCCTAACCTTATTAATAATATGTATATATGTTGGTGTTTTTTTGTGTTTATACATATGTAAGTAAGTTGAGTTGGATTCATATACACGTACAAATGTACTCAGCGTAATGAAATTCATTACTCATGTAATAATTCATGACACTTTTTTCGGCTCAGCAAATGGTGAGACTTTCACGTGAAAGCTTTTTTGTGTGATTAATTTTCACGGTTAAACCCGATTACTGACAAGGGACACTCACGACCTGTCGTTCGTGTGACACGAATCGTGTCCAGGGTACCCACTTTGTTTTTTTAGAATCTACTAGGAACCTAAATGAAGGATCCATTCTTATTTCCGTGTAAAACTCATATTTGACGCCGTGGCGTGGCGCCAAATTCGCCAAATTTGTAGGTTTTTATTTTTAAAACCGCCATAACTTTTGAAATCCTGGGTGGATTTTATAAAAAATTTTCAAACATCATGAAAAATAGTTCAACTTTAGTATGCAATCAAGTTTTTCAAAATATTGATTGTTTCAATTTATGTCAAAATTTTGAGATTTTTTTACACGTGGAAATTCGGCGAAAAAATCTTAAAAATCTCTTAAAAATAAAAATTTTACATTTTTTATTTTTTCCCTCAAATTTTGACCTTTGTGATCATTTTAAGTCCAAAATTTTGAAAATCCCACAGAAACTGCAAAAGTTATGGAGGTTTAAAAATGGTCGAAAACGCAGATTTTTAAGTTTGGCGCCACGCCAAGGCGCCAAATATGAGTTTTACACGGAAATAAGAATGGAACCTTCATTTAGGGTCCTAGTAGATTCTAAAAAACATAGTGGGTACCCTGGACACGAACGACAGGTCGTGAGTGTCCCTTGTGAGTACGATGTCATATGTACACATACCCTGATTAAATATGAAAGCTTTCGACTTACCGAAACACAATATCGTCGTTCTAATTCTAAAAA